ACGTGGTTTTAATAATACCAGGGTACCTGGTGTTTGAGTTCTGTTAATTAAATGATCTGGAATTGAAAACTGGCTTCAGTAATAGTGACGATAAGAATATCACCAATCTGTTACAAACACCCGTCTAGTCCATTAATGCTCTTTAGAAAAATAAATTTACCACCTTCACTTGGTTTTGCCTGTATGTGACTCCAGATGTAGGAAAGGGATTGCCTGCCCCACAAGTAATGGCCTAAAAAACCACTCCATTAAAGGGCAATTAGAGACTGGCAAGGCCAGTGTTTGTCTATGATACCATTTTTTTTAAAAAAAGATCTTTAAAATGGCAACTGGAGAAGTGATACGTCGAGCTCAAACTATCAAAAACTCAAGTCAAATTGAAATACCTGATTACTAGATTGTATTGGCATAAATCCACACTGCATGAATTTAACTGGTTATGGCAGCCAACCCATTATAAACTTAGAATTTTACGCTGATGCACACCAATGTATATAGTGCTTGTTGTGATAAGTAGCTCAGTACATACACCCTAGCAGCATAGATCAATGGCACCTGGCTCTTTGGCTTGTAAAAATTGCATCATGCAGCAAAGATTAAACTTATCAATTACATCAAGACCCTTGAAGCTATCTGCAGTGTCACTGGAAAAAAAATGTAGATTTACAGATTGGTGTTCTTGGAAGTTGACTTATTTTTTTAAAAAGCAGCATCTGACCTTGTCAACAAGATTGAAATTACTGTGAGGGCAGCAAATCTCTGAAAATCATCAACCTCTTGGTGTATGTAAAATACATGGAACCATCATCTACTGTGCACTTATTCTGTATGTGTTTTGAAATACTGGTGTCATCACTAACTTTCAATGCCTTCACACAAGTGTGCTGGTTACAAGAACACAAATCAAATGTTTTAACCAGGTTGCAGTGGTCTGGCAGTGTGACCCTCGTCCCTTTTTAGGGGTGAGCACAAGAATGTGTCAGGTATCCATTGTGATCTCTGATTTAACTCACTGCAGTTGAGAAACTCTAAAATTATCCCACTGTCACAGCACACTCCGAGGTACAGATATCAGTTTATGGGCTGCTTGTTGTCTGTCTATAAAAACTGTCTTTGACTGTAAGCAGGTTGATGTTGAGACGAAGTCTGAATCTCTCTAATGGGAGGTGGGAGAGGAGGAGTTGCTGGTTGTGATGGCAGACTTGCTGCTTGACGGTCTGTGCCATGCCTCATGATTTGAATACCATGCTTTTTCATTGTCATATCATCAGTTGGAGCTCCAGGAGCTTTTTGCAATGATTTTAGTTATGATCGTTAATTGCAAATGCAGCATTGGATTTTGAAGGAGCACCAAAACCGAGATTTGATGTGACTCCTAAGCCTGCGCTTATCCTTCAGTTGCTGTACAGTGTCATATTACATGAAACACATGCATTACTCAGCAACTGAGTATGTTCTCCTTTGGGCTATAAAATCCATTTGCATCTTCATTCAATCACTAATTGCTGTCCATCCAGGATATCAGACCTTGGCTTTATTTATGACGCTGCAGTTAGAAACCCCTCGATTATTGTGACTTGGGTATGTTCTGTTCCTGAGTAATGAGTACTTTTGGAAACTTGGATAGGGCAGGAATTTTGTTTTAAACATGTCGTATTGAGACAATCTGTCCATATCTTGTATTCTGCAAGCTCAGGTTGTAACTTGCTATCTTCTCTTACGAGAGTTTGTTTGCAAACTGTGTGTAGCAGTGAAAGCTCTCGTGATGAAATGCAATATTTCACTATGGAACAAAACACAAAGTCTAATTTTGATTTTTAAAAACTGTTTCGCTCTTATCACTAACTTTAACTTTTTTTTTAATAACCGAAATATTTTATCACCAATTGGAATAGAGTTGAAATCCAGCCTAGATCAAGCACTGTTTCTTTAGCTTAGCTGTGTGTGTAGTTCAGCATGAAGTTAGAAATATTGGCTGTGGACCTGAGGTTTGAACTGGCCAAAGTCTAGCATGTATTGTTTGAAATGGCAGTGAAAACTTTCCTGTGCATCTCTTGACAATGCACTAGCTGCTGAAACTGATTTCCCATTGGCCAGGGGAGATTGTTAACACAGACCTCAAGATTAATTATTCTTCAGACTCTGCTGCACACCTCGTAGAGTAGAAAATCTGTTTGTGAGCAGTTTATGGTAGGCACACTATTTGCATCCTAGTTATACAATGTATTGGTGCTGACTGCTTTTTATCCTACATTATCCAGGTACTAAACTGAGTTGGAATTCAACACTGACTGATTCCTCATTTCTTTTAGCAAAGTGCAATAGTGGAAATGTTCACACTTCTCTTGTTAAAATAATCGGTGTGCAGGTATAAATGTTCTTCTAAATGTGGGCAGTTGGGAGAATGCATCTTGAACTGATTACTCTGAGATAAAGTTTTGATGGTAATTGAGTTGGAGATAATTTCAGATGATGGTGTCAAGAATTTTGCAGTGCAGAAGAGGGGAATTCAGCATGTCACCTATACTAGCCCTTGACATACACATTCTACATTCATTGTATGCATTTTCCAAGACAGCAGTTACTTTTTCTTCTTATAGACTGTCTCAGATGTCCTTACATTATATGAGTATGTTTTATGTGTAACCTATCACTACAGTTAAACTAAAAAGAAACCAGTGTTTTGATTTAAAGTTTAAAATAAAGAAAGATGTGCCATTTAGCATTCACTCTTGAGTAAAAAAAGAGAATTGATTGACCTGTCAGACTGCTTGAGAGAACATTTTGGATGATCCAAAAGACATTTTTTTTTACAAAGAAAGCCACATGTGGAATTCAAAACACAAACTGATCAGCCATGCTGTTATTGATTGGCAGATCTCCAGGACAAAGGGGATTAGTGGCTTGTTTCTGTGACTGGAAGTCTGTGATCAATGGTGTTCCACAAAGATCAGTGCTGGGACCCCTGTTTGTAATTTATATAAATGACTTCGATGAGAATGTAGGTGATCTGAATACTAATTTGCAGACCACACAAAAATTGGTGAAGTTGTGGATAGTGAGAAAGGTTGTCAAAGGAAATGGATCAGTCGGAAATTTGGGTGGAGAGATGGCAGTTGGAGTTTAATCTAGACAAGTGTGAGGTGATACATTTTGGGAGGTCAAGTGCAAGAGGAAAGTACACGGTAAATGGCAGGACCCTTTTAAAAGCATTAATGTACAGAGAGATCTCTCAGTGAAAGCCCATAGCTCCCTGAAAGTGGATTGTTGGAGGCTGAGGGGCTATAGAACTATATAAAATGAGGCATGGATAGTCAAAGTCTTTTTCCCAGGGTGGAAATGTCAAATACGGGGGTGGGGGGGGGTGGCATAGATTTAAGGTGAGGGAGATATGTGAGGGAATTATTTTTACAGAGTGGTGGATCCTGGAATGTGCTGCCAAGGGAGGTGGTATGTTTGACAAGTATTTATACAGGCACACAAGTAGGGACTAGAGTGGTATGGACATGTGAAGACAGATTTGGATTAGTTTAGAAATGTATCCTCGTCAGCATAGACATGGTGGGCTGAAGGATCTGTTCCTCTGCTGTGCTGTTCGCATGAAAATATCAGTTTGTTAAATAAGTTGAGAGCATGACTGCACTAGAGTAGTTGGATTTATTTTACCCTTCCAGGGACATGTATAGTGATGCAGATTCTCTGTTTTGCTGATTCCACAGGCCAATGTAGTTTGTTTTACAACTATAATTGTATCATGGCAGCATTGATCAAACAGGTCACATTGTCCTTCTGAAGGCTGCTGTTAGCCTACCTAAAAGTAGGCCTGGGAGATGGGCTTAAATATATGTCTGAGCCATGGAGCTGAAACCATTAATGTAGTGATTGGGCAGCAAGGTCCTTCCAGCTCGCACCACCCAGGCAATATATCCAGTATTTTATCCGAGACCAGAACCGTTGGTCAATTATCTTTGAGAAGTCAGAATATCCCACTTTCTTTTCAACTTTTTCTATCATCCCTGTTACTTGGGACAAATGTGGTTAGGCCTGGGTGACATATTGGCTGGCACCTCTAAATCCTGAGTAACAATTCAAATAGGCAACACAGCCCTCACTTTATATATAATCTTTCACGTCCTCATAGTAGCACTTCATGGCTAACTGTGAAGTGTGGTTTAAATGCTGGCAAATATGGTGAGCAGTTTGCACCCAGCAAGGTTCTACAAGTGAGAATATTTTGTTAAGTCCAGTGAAGAGGTCAGTATTTTTTTTCCTAGGGTGGAGGTAGCTTTTATGAGGGGGCATAGTTTTAAAGTGAGTGGAGGTAGATATAGGGGAGACGTCAGAGGTAGGTTCAGTGGTAGGGGCGTGGAATGCATTGCCGGAAAGGGTAGTGGAGTCGGCCTCATTAGGGGCACTTAAGCGGCTATTAGATAGGCATATGGATGAAAGTATAAGGTAGGGGTGGAGGTTAGATAGAACTTAGGTTTAGGCTAAAAGTTCGGCACAACATCGTGGGCCGAAGGGCCTGTACTGTTCTATGTTCTATATTCTATTGGTCCAGACACTGAGAGAGTTCCTCTGCTCTTCAAATTGTGACATGGGTTTAGCATCTCACTGATTAGGTGGCAACTTTAGACAGTATGTCACTGATTTGATTTATTGTCACGTGTACCTAAGTACGGTGAAAAGCTTTGTTTGCGAGCAGTACAGGCAGATCGTAGTAAGCAAGGACATACAGATCATAGGGTGCTTGGACAGAGCGGGGCATGCAGGTTACACTGCACAGCGTAGCAAAATCAAGGGGGCGCGTTGGGCTATGTGCTGGTTCAGATTTGCTGAAACCTCTGCAGTGAGGCTTTATCCATACTACCATAACTCTGAGCCAAACGTATCACTTTTTTTAGCTAAAGTTGGCATCTTTTTCATTTAGCAAGAATGTACTGAGCAAAACGTAAATACAAAATAGACTTTATTGTCACAATTATTTTGTTTTGCTTCAGATTGAAATCCGTCCAGAAGGAAAGGAATTCCAAAAGCTCTTCAAGTCTTTCTGAAGCTGGACCTGCTGTAAGTAGTCACTAGCTGTTGCTAAAGCAGTAACTAGAAATGGTGCCTAATGTTCTGTGTACCTACATATCTCACTTACAGCCGGATTGTTAGTACTTGGTGAGGTCAATATGTTTAATCTCCTCCAATAAATATTTTGTGACATAATGCTGAAGAAGCATGTGATTCAAATGAAGGAGCTGTTCTAGTAAATAGTGGAAGTAAACTATTTTAAATGTCAGTGGGGGAAGTGATTCATCTCACAGATTTATGCAAGATCACTAATTTCACGGCCTTTGAGACACTTAAAATTTTTCAGTGGTAGTGCAGTAACTAGACACAGCAGTATAGAATCTGGTTTCTTATGCACATTCAATGGTGACATTTTTTATTAAGTTGTTGTGTAAATGGGAGGTTATGGTGGTCCTGGTCTTATTCTGGATTATTTGCTTTCTTTCCAGCTTAATCGAGTAGTTATTTTATCTCTGTAGTGAATTTCAAAGTATGCCATGACATTTTAAGGAGGTTGTGCTTTGCCTTTCTATTCTGTATCCACATGAGGTTGAGTAAGACAAGAGAAGTGACACCACCGTAGCGGAGCTAACTATTTATTCTGTGCCTTGTTATCTGTCCCTGTGGTCTGCATTTTCTTTGAAACCCAAAGATATCAGAATTGCAATTGTTTTGTGGCAAATTGACCCCCTGCTTATGCTGCTAGCATCGAGGTTATAATAAGTGTTAAACTTAATTGTTGATGCAAGAGAACTCTGAACCAATTTTAAAAATAAAAGTTACTCTGGATGGTAAATTGCCTCTCTTCCTATACTTTATTTTCCCTTACCTGCAGTACATTTGGGGTTTAGCTGATTTTTGTGCCAAGACATGTGCATAAAGAAAAGCCACTGATTAGCAAAACCAACATTGGCAACTTAATTTGGTATTTCGAGTAAATTTTACAATATTGTTGCAAGCTGATATACCCTAAGTAACTGTCTTCTTTGAGCTATATTCTGCCTGCCCACAGTGCCGATGGTATGTTTTCCACATAACCATCATCTCTAGTTTCTTAACTGGTAGATTCTGTGTTATGTTACAATAAACCTTTTCACTGATAAATGTGTTGCTTTTACGTGTAGTGAGTATGCTAACCATGTACTAATGTGTCCAATTTTTCTCTTCTCTCTCCCATGCTCAAATTGCTGTGACCTGACCGGTGTCTGCCGTTGGCTCTTAAAGCATCGGTGTAGACTTTAACTGTACCTTTTTCCTCTCTGTCTGTCAAACTCGTCCCTCTCCAACACTGCTCTAACCAAACTGCAGCTCCTTTGCCACTTTCTGGGAACCAAGCCACACTCATCAACACCCAAATAGTCAGTTGAGAGTGAGAGAGAACGCCAAGCAGATCCTAGAAAGTACCTTGCCTTTGGTGTTTCCAGTATCTAAAGAGGGGGGGACAAAAGTCCAAACAATGAAGCTTAAACAAGAAGTGCATTGCATTTTCTTGCTTCCTATCTACCTATTGATGTGGCTTTACACAACCCTCACCTTTATCCCATGGTATTTCCTCTCTGACGCAAAGACGAAAAAGGCAATGGCAAAACGAATCAAGGCCAAACCCACGTCCGAGAAACCAGGCAGCCCATTCCGTTCCGTGGACCACTTTGACTCCCTTGCCAAAATGGACTTCCCTGGGCTGGACACACTCGACAAACTGTTTGAAGTGGCTGTGAAGAAGTTTCAGAAGCAGAACTGCTTGGGCACAAGAGAGTTGCTGAGCGAAGAAAATGAGGTGCAGGCTAATGGAAAAATCTTTAAAAAGGTGAGCAATATGTTGCGATGCTGAATACTTGCTGGTAAAATATATCCATCACGTGAGAGAGGAGGTTTGTTTCTGCTGTAGCTATATTTTGTGTGTGTGTGTGTACCTAGCCTGAGATGGGATTTTGTGTTAGCTAACTGGAGCTCTATCTCTACACAACTTGGTCAATTAAGTTCTTCCTGTCCAACCTCCACACATTGTTTGAACGCATCTAATTATTGGAGCACGTGTAAGAGGCAGGGTCACAAAAGATTACTTCTGCCTAAATACTTGATGCTGATTCATCCCCATTGACTCCATCCCAATTTCCTACAGGGTTAAAAGTTAAAAGCAGTAGATTGTACATGCTCTTGCCATAGACTTCCATCTGAGGCTTCTTAAGGGTACTTCATGGGCCAGGAATGGTTACGTTAAACATAGGGTTTCTGGTTGGTGTCAAAAGGATCTTGTACTTTCCCCTTTGGGGGTTAATGTCAAGTGTTGGTTCTTTATTAACCATTTCCCATCGAGGCTTCATCGGATGTTACTCAGCATGGTGACGAAACGTCTGAACGAAAACAAGCCAGCTCGTCAACAACGAGCAAGTCAACAACCTCGCACTCGGCCTGAGCTACAAACCTTTGCGAAAACCTTAAATTTCCCATCCCCCTTCTACAAAATAATCTTTATGCCAAGTGTAGTTTGGCCTTGCTCTTACAAGAGAAGAGGACAATAGAGATTTCCTTTCAGCGCCATGATTATTGCCATCTGTGAAATATCTCTTGCCTTGTTTTGCCCATTTCTTTCTTTCTCCCTTTTTTTATAAACTTCAAATCCTTCCATGAAGGAAGCTGAAGACCCATGCCTGGTCCTCCCCAGTTCAACTCTGGATGGGGGGGGGGGGCAGCGACAATGTCACTCAAAAGAATTGAAAGGGAAGAGGTTGAAATACTGCTGGTCTAGCAGATCCTTATTCGGTATGTGGTCAGGGAGAAGTTTCAGTATTTGGAACTTCCTTGCTTTGTTAGGGTGTGTACAAGAGTGCTGTTTCATCAGTAGTTATTTTTCACTCCCATGAATTTATCAGCTGCTTAAAGTTATATCTAACGGCTTGCCTGTATGTTTGAAGAAGGGATGTATACCAAATTTGCCAAGTATTGTCCATATAGATTGCACAAGTTTTAAGTGAGATCACATTTTCAATGCACCCCGAAAATAAGGCCAAGAGGATGTATGTTTGTTGGCATATCCTTGCTTGATTGACAGATGAATGTATTTTGACTTAATCTGCAGCTAATCCTGGGGGAATATAAATGGCTAAGCTACGAAGAGGTAAATCAGCGTGTAAACTGCTTTGGCAGTGGCCTGTCTGCCTTGGGACTGAAGGCAAAGGATATGATTGGCATCTTCTGTGAAACCAGGGCTGAGTGGATGATTGTAGCACAGGCCTGCTTCAAGTACAATTTTCCACGTAAGTATTTTCACAATTACCTTACACTGTGAGAGAACTGTGTTTGGTGGAATCCAGCCAATGATGCTACTCACCGGGATGACCTGGGCACTGTGAAGAGGTCATTTACTCCTGTCAAATCTAGTTTGACGTCAAGTTTTCCAGAAAATGAAGCAAAGGGCAGATACTGAGTTTTTAAAAGGTTCGCAAGTATTATGCGAAGTCATTCTTGAAAGAGGGGACATGCAGCACGTAAGAATTAAAAAAAGAAGATAATGGAAATACTGCACTGATCTGGTAGTATCTGTGGACAGGATAAACAGAGTTAATGTTTGAGGCTGTGACCTTTTTAATCAGAACTGGGAGGAAAAAAAGCCATACGTAAAAAGTTGAAGCCACTGGAAAGTGGGGAAAAAGAGCAAATGGGCAGGTCGGTGATGGGGTGGAAATTTAGAGGGATTAAGTGCCAAAAGATTTTGGTGCAGGGCCAAAAGGAAGTGCAAAGAAACATGAGATGTGTCTCAGGAATGTGTGAGTGACAGAATGATGAACTGCTGCTGTCTGAAAGCAAAAGTATGAAAAATGAGTAAAACCTGTCAAGCGAAATGAAGATAAGTAGGAACAGAGGTTCGAGTCTGAAATTGTTGAACTCGTTGTTGAGTCCGGAGGCTATCAAGTGCCTAATGAGAAGATGAGATACTGACATTGGAATGTCATTGAAATACTGCAGGAGGCTGAGGACAGAGCAGTCACCATGCAAACAAGGGGTATTGAGGGATTGTCAGCAGATGTTGACATTGCTGGTGATGCTTGCATCCTTTGAACAGATGATGCAAAAAAAATCCACACACTTCAGTCTCTGAGATGTGCTGCTGTTGTGGCAACATACAGGACAAAATCTGGCAGTTTGTTGTGTGGAGGAATAACGAGACCTGTCACCTTGAGCTGCATTTGGAGTTCTGACCTGGGTTCAGGGTTAGCCTTGGAACTAACTAAAGTGGGGGAGAGAAATTATTTGGATGGGCATTCACCTCCATAGGGAAGGCAATCTTGTACATGCATCCTCAAAGGAAATACAAGTGAAAGAGTTAACGCTGGATGATGAGTTGAAGGGAATGTTGAGTTTGGATTATCAAAGTTCTCATAAAACATTATGAAGAAAGAGCATTAGCATTTGCTATTTGTGACCTCAGTGCCCCCAAGTGCTTTACAGCCGTGAAGAGTAATTGAGAATGAAGTTTGCAATAGGAAATATTGTATCAACATTGGTTAAGCCATGACTGTGAGCATAATGGATATGAAAGGATTAATAAACTGTGCCTGCAGAGTGAAGATCACTAGCCTAAGATATGAGCTCAGAAAGTGCTACAATTCCGTGTTAACTGTCTGATACTTAGACTCGAACATGTTCCAGTTGTTAACATATGATTTTTGTTCAGTTAATTCCGTTTATTCGCTAATGTGTAAAGCTGCATAGCAGATTTTTTTAAAAAGAAGCGCACGACTTTTTCCATAACCACTTTGTCCAGTGGATATTGTTGGCAGGATCTAACTTGTTAGAAGCCAAAGAATACTTGAGATTTCCCAAAAGAGATCCCAACAGTAATGCTTGTCTTTCCAGAATTGACCGTCATGTTGTTTGGAAATGAGCACATGCTTTCTGTGCGTCTTAGGAAGCTGAGTAATGAGTATGGGTGACTCATATCAACCATGGGAAGTGCATACTCATTTGCCAAGTGGATCAGATGTCACTGGAACATGTAGCAATTGTTCTTCCATTTGTTTTTATAAGTACAACTTGCAACATTTCCTTTAACCGTCAGTTTAAAGGTTGAGACGAGGGAAGGGTAGTGAAGTTGGTTTTAGTACCTTTTTGAGTACCCCCCCCACTTCCCCAGCAACTAGTTCCTCTAATTTCCATGTCTTCCCTGCCAGACGTTCTCAGAATTACAGCATGTTTACGGAGGATGGATTGCGAGGAACCCAGGCTCATCATGTTCCCTCACTGCACAAAATAACCTTGTGATACTTCCTACTGATCCTTGGGCATAGATGATGTGTTAAGTTAGATTGTACGAGTCATCAAAACCTCACCAACGCAATTATGATCCGATTGTGGAGTTCTAACCTTTTTTGAAAAGGGTAGAAATCAACAAAACAGGAAAACATTTGGAAGTGAATGACATTTTCAGATTTAAATATTTTTCCAGCTGATGTCACCACTTTAACAAGAAACTCAATCGTGCATTTTGGTCCTGCCCATCCCTCAAGTAACAATGCATGCAGAATGTTTACTACTTCTTTCTGCTTTATATATGCTTGTCAGTCCCTGATTTGCAGATCCAAGTGTTTAAATGGTCTTCTGCACAGTCATTCACCTTGTAATTTTTTTTTTTGTTGTTGTAGTAACTATGTTAACACGTTTTTTTTTAAAAGAAAGCTGGTATTTTTAGAGGAAAAAAAAAAATCTCTGTCCACGGCTGAAACTCCACACCAATTCTGCTTTTACTTGATAAAAACCGAAAGTATTGCGGATGCTGTAAGTCGGGAACAAAAACGGAAGTTGCTGGAAAAGCTCAGCAGGTCTGGCAGCATCTGTGAAGAAAAAAAATCAGTTAACATTTCTGGTCCGGTGACCCTTCCTCAGAATTGATGGTAGCTGGGAAAACATTGGTTTATGTGCAGAAGATAGGGAGAGGGATGGGATAGGGAGTTAGAGATAGGACAAAGTATAGAGCCCAAAGAGACAGAAGAGCAGTTGGATAGATGAAGGATAGACAATCTGGCTAGGATGGTGAGGAAGCTGTTAATGGGGACTGTTAGTGACTAACAATAGGTAGTGTGTAATGGCAGGCCATGTAATAACAAGGCTTGGTGTGTGGGGTGGGGGGCTGGGACATGGGAGAGTTTAGGCCCTAAAATTATTGAACTCTGAGTGCGGAGTAACCTTTTAACACACCACCCTGTTCCCTGGCCAACATCTCTGTCTTTGGTTTGCTGCAGTGTTCCAACAAAGCTCAGCACAGGCTGGAAGAACAACGCCTCGTTTTCCATTTGGGGGCCCTGCAGCCCCCTGGACTCTATGTCAAGTTCAATAATTTTAGGACCTAAACTCACCCATGTCCTAGTCCCCTACCCCACACACCAGGCCTTGTTCTCACATAGCCTGCCATTATAGGCTACCTATTGTTAACAGCTATTCACCCTCCTAGCCAGATCATTATCAACTCCTTTGTCTATCCAACTGCTCTTCTCTTTCTTTGGGCTCTATCCTTTGTCTTATCTCTCACTCCCTACCCCATCTTCCTCCTTATCCTCTGCGCACAAACCAACATTTTCCTGAAGGATCTAGGCCCGAAACGTCAGCCTCTCTGCTCCTATGATGCTGCTTGGCCTGCTGTGTTCATCCAGCCCTGCATCTTGTTGTCTCGGATTCTCCAGCATCTGCAGTTCCTACTATCTCTGATTCAATTTTCCTAGCTACCATCAGTTCTGAGGAAGGGTCACCAGGCCAGAAACATTAACTCTGACTTTTTTTTTCTCTTCTTCACAAATGCTGTCAGACCTGCTGAGCTTTTCCAGCAACTTCTGTTTTTGTTCCTGCTTTTGCTTGATCCCACTCCATGGCCAGGAGTGCACTTAATTCAGCATTTAGAGACTGGTGTTGGTGAAAAGAGGCAGGTTGTTCAGATCAGTAATTTGACTAGAAAAATATAAGTTTCATGTTTAAAAAGAATTCTGGGGTTAAATTAAAACTTAAAATTTCAGATCTTCTTCACTTTCCTCTAGCACCCTCTGAAAATACAGGAATGGACCATACAGATGAGAATTATAGCAAGCCAGTCATCTATATAAGATGATGGGAATACATCATATGGAAACAAATGGGGCTGCAGTTTACTTTATGTAGTTCTCTTTAGCTGATGCCTGAAGAGATCAGAGCATGGTTCTGCCACCAGTGTCATGTATGAAGTAGCTAACAGGTGTCATTTGTAGAATATGTTATATGTTGAAAACTTCTGTCAAGTCACTATAGCCAAGGACCATCGTAGTGGTGTATAATCCGCCCACAAGTGGAGTCACCATTTCCCTCTTGTCAGCTGGCTGTGAAAATTAACAGTTAGGGCCTTTGTGCCACAATTGGAAGCAGAGCTTTGGTCATCCTGATCTGCAGGCTCAGGCAACCTCCCTATATTGAACATCTTTGAGTATTCGACCATCTCCTATCCTGCAAACATGCCTGAGCTCGCCAAGTTGCCTCCCCCCGATGAGTACCAACGTACCTGGGGAAATTTGCCGTCGTGAGCACTATCACGTTCATGGTTTTGCCCGTGAAATGCCTGAAATACTCTGCATGCAGGAATGTTTCGATGTAAGATCTCGTGTAACATTACTCTCTCTCAACAGGAATAGGTGTGGCCACGAATAACAGTGACCATTTGAAAATATGGTCCAAATAAACTCATTAATTGAGTTAAAATTCAGCTCTCCACTGGTGCATTTTAAAAGTTTGAGTGTCTGTTGAGTTAGTTAGTTAGTTACTCTTAGCTGGAATGACTGGTGAGCCACTCGATTGACCATCAATGAGACTAAGATCCAGCTTGGTTATTATACATATTTCATTCTGTAGCCCATTTTAGTGGCTCTTCCCTACTACTTATAGCAACGTGACCATATCCTTTTAGATGGAGACTAAATAATACTTTACATTGGGATGGAATAACTTCAGTTGATATACCATCCAATCCTCATTTTATCTTCTTATGAAAAATCCGTTCACTGTCTCCAGATGCTGTCACAATGTCTTGGAAGATCAATTTTTCTAAAATTCCTAAGTTCCTTTCCTGATCGAGCCTCTGGTCCCAGCTTCTATTAATCCAATAATTTTGCCTGTCCTTCATTCCTCAGTGTATGGCTTAAGGGTGAATTACCACAATGCCCTGGATCGTAATGTGTGTCTCTATGCAATAGAATTGAGATGTGTGCCATTATTTGGCAATGGCTGAACTAAGTGTTTTAAAATTGTAAATCTGATGTCTGACATCTGCTTCTGATTAAGTGAAAAGCAATTCCTGTTTAAGATTCTTTCCCTTGGTGTTTAGATTGACTTCAAATTAATCACCAGAAATAAACAATGAATCCTGGCCTTTATCTCCAGAAAGAGGCTACAGTTCATTTGAAAGAATGCAATTGGGCTCAGTAGGTATTCATTCTTTCAGTTTGAGCATGTTTTGAATTTACCTCTTTCACTCTTCATTACTGATTCTTCTGAGCAATGTCTTAATATTCCATGTTCACCTTTCAGAATTCCTGCTTTCCCAGCACTCCTAAATTAGGACAGAATGGACTTAAATTTATACAGCACCTTTTGTATCCTATAGGCACTTGATTTACTTTTGACGTTTACATAGAACCAATTTGCATACATCTTGGAGGCTAGGTAAATGATCAGTTGACCTGTTTTGATTGCAAGATCAGCACTACCCACGATACCATAGATAAAGAAATTTGCTTGCTGCTCTTCAAATAAAGGAATTAGATCTTTTGGTAACTCAAAGGCATACAGACTTAATGCCAAATCTGAAAGGTGATGCCCTGATTAATGCAATGCAGTAGAATCCATATTGATCATGTGCTTAAGCCCTGAAATGGAGCTTGAACCAATGGTGCTTTGAAATAATTCCTCAAAATGGGCTAAAATAAATAATCAAAAACATGACATACTTATGTATTTAACTTCCGGTTTTTAGCTGCTTGTTTTGGAAACTTTCTATTTTGCCGTTTACGGAGTAATGCCAAATTTTAAGTTAACTTTGATCGTACTACATGCTATGGAGATTGCATCCATTCCAGTGCAAGTGTAACTTGATTATTTTCTTTCCCTCCTCTCAGTTGTAACAATTTATGCCACCCTTGGAGAAGATGCTGTAGCTTATGGGCTAAATGAATCGGAGGTAACACATCTCATTACTAGTGTGGAACTCCTTGATACCAAGTTGAAGGTGAGCTTTGAAAAATCTGCGTGCCACATTATCCTTAAGTAAAGATTTTGGATGTGTGGAAATATGAGAGACTTTGAAAATTAGGAATCCACTGTGCACTCAATTCAGCCTTGTTCTTTTGTGGTGTGCCAAGTTGGAAATTTTTGAGCAATACATCCTCCCCATTGCTAATTTCTTCACCTAACCTTTCACAAGTAAAGAAAAGCCTTTTTTATCCTGCATTTCTACTGAATGTTAGTGTGAGGAATATTGTGAAACTTGCCTGGAAAAGCAGTGTTCTATTACAGCAGCATTTAGTGTTTCTATGTAAATAGATATGAGCTTGTTTTCGATCCTAATATTCAGGTTCTTTTATAGATGACGATAACACATTCTAAATTTGAATTCCAGATTTGACTGATAATGTTATCAAGGTTGTAAAAACTAATTTTCATTTCCAGTCAAATCGACATATTCATATGATTATGTCAATCCTGAGAAGAGCTTACAAGTTTAATAATAGTGAAAAGTTGTGTGATAGTCCAGTCAGTAACATGCAAATCTACTTGCAACCTATTTCTGCCAAGCTGATCTGGGTTAAAGATGATTTTTAAAGCAAGGTTTGTTGTAAAAGTTTCAAACACTTCAAAAACTTGTCAACGGTTTCACTTTCCTATGCAAAGTGTAGAAGGAGATTGTTTGTTTGACCACACAATCTCATGAAGAACATGTACACTGCATTGTGCTACCAAGGAGGAGAGAAATAATTGAAAGGGTTAAAAATGAAATTGAAAGGAAATGATCACATCCTGAAAGGAATGGAGGCTTTCATAAGCACACAAAGAACGGGAAAAAAAACGCTCATGGATGAAGTGGGGAGTCTTATTGTGGAAATTCAATTACATTAAAGGCATATTTTGCATTTTTTTTTTGCCAGTAATGGTGGGCATGAGAGATTTGAAGTTGTAGAGGTGACACTGGTAAAGTCACCATACTATCCCCAGACCATATGGACGCTCTCTCATTTAGAGAGTGATGACTGGCAATAGTTTAACCTGAGGGTTACCACACCTCAGCGAAGGGAGCGGTTAAGGAGAATCCTTCATTGTAACGTTGGCCAACGCAGGAACTGAATCTATGTTGCTGACATCACTGTGCATCACAAGCCAGCTATCCAGCCAACAAGCTAAACCAACTCTCCATTTATCTATAAGAGAAGGAATTGGTTTTGAAATCTAAGTAGGGTTTTAGGTGGAACTGACCTAGCTCTGGTAATCTCTAGTCTGTGGAAAGAAGTCCAGGAGGATTGCAGAGGTTTGAGTTTCTTCAGTGCTTGAGTTTCTCCTAAGCAGCATGAATTGAGCTATGGGACCGGAGAGTAATCAGTGAAGTGCCTCCATTTAAGTTGGGTGGAGTATGATAAACTGATTCACTGTAGAAAAGTTAGTATGGTGACACTTGTGAATAAGCTTGTAGAATCTGTACAAAAACAAAGTTGCTGGAAAAGCTCAGCAGGTCTGGCAGCATTTGTGAAGGAAAAAGAGTTAAGGTTTCAGGTCCGGTGACCGAACACATGTTCTGAGGAAGGGTCACCAGACCTGAAATGTTAACTCTGTTTTTTTCCTTCACAGATGCTGCCAGATCTGCTGAGCTTTTCCAGCAACTTTGTTTTTGTTCCTGATTTACAGCATCCGCAGTTCTTCCAGTTTTTATTTTGTGGAATCTGTAGTTTGGGACATCTCAGCAATGAGAAATTAAGAAATTCTCTTCTCTTTAATCAAGGGCAACCAATACTTTTGTTTAAAATCTATTTGAGTTTGAAAAATAGTTTTTTGGAGAAGTGAATGTTTGGCTCGTTACAGAAGGCACTTGTTGCGCATTTGGATTTTTCTGAAGGCAGTCATTAAGATTGCTCAAGATTTGTGATGTTAAATGAAGTGCAGCAATAAAATAGAAAATGGATGGATGGCTGAGCACAATAAACAGGGTTGAAATAATCGGCTTTTGCTTAGACTAGGCTTGAATTGGAATCTCTAAGTTTTGCTGACTTCAGAGTAGTTTGCCAAAGTGTGAGAAGCACTAGAAAAGATTTGAAAACCTAGATTGGAAGAGTAAGTAAACAGGTAGCCAATGCAGTTTTGAGAGGCAATGACCGTGATAATGTTGCTGGACTAGAAACTCGGAGGCTTGGGTATGTGGTGGAATTTGAGTTGAATGAAAACAAGTCTGGAATTAAGACTACTGATGGCCATGAAATAATTGTCAATGATACCATTATCGATTGTTGTAAAAACACAGCTGGTTGACTAATGCCTAATTAAAAATGCAATCCTTCCCTCACCAATATGTGACTCCAGACCCATGCTGATATGGTTGACTTGTAACTCAAATGGTTGACTCTGAAGTAGCCTGGCAAAGCAGTCAATTTAAGGGCAACTGGGGATGAGCAGCAAATGCTGCCCGAACCAGCAATGCCCATATCCCATCAATGAATGAATAAAAAACACAAGCTTGAGATGATGTATTTTGGGATGTGGTAGGTTGAAACAAGGGAGTAAGGAATGGATGCGTGATAGACATAGAAAGGTATGGATAAATGGAAATCGGCAAGTGTCAAATTGTAGCCTCAAGTAAGTCACAGTTTAAATACAGCGTTGATTCATTAGAATAATACCAAAGTGGGTAAATACAGTTACAAGTAGAAATGGAAAATTCTAGGATTGAGAAGGTTTTGATTTCATTGACAAGGGAAAAGACCATTTTTCTCGTATGGGAGTAGTTAGTATCAAGCTCGATTTAAAATCCTTAATGTTGAGGAAAGTCAGGTACTTCGCTACATGAGGTGGCTAAGGCATTTTTTAATGGGCAAATTGGACGTGTAATTGAAGGGGAGGATGGTGCGAGGCTGTGTTAGAGAGAACAGTAAAAGGTTTAGTTTTGAATTGCTCAAATCAAGAATTGACAAAGCATTACTGATCAAATGACCACTTTGTGTGCTGTAAACATTATGGTTACATATGGAAAAAGAAAAATAACTGCGGATGCTGGAAATTCAAAACAAAAACAGAACACGGTAATGTGGGATCTGAAGAAGGGTCACTGGACCCGAAATGTTGACTCTGCTTTCTCTCCACAGATGCTGCCGGACCTGTTGAGTTTCTCCAGCTATGATTGTACATGATTTGATGTCAATGTGTAAAACTACAGCCTTGAAATCCTATCCTATTTTGCACATTAGTAATCCTTCTAATCATGGTTTTAAACTTTATTTTTTCAGAAAGTGCTGCCAAAGCTTCAAAAGTTGAAGCATATCATTTATGTGGACAAGAAAGCCATCAGTTCTTCAGAATATTCACAAGTTCTTCAAATCCACAGTATGGCTTCTGTGGAAGAACTTGGAGCCAAACCTGTGAACTGTACGTATGTAGGCAATTTCTCTTGCTGTCTCTGCATGTGACAATTCTTTACAAGTAACTAATTGTTACTCATTTTTCACTATTACCAATCTTAAAATTCCCAATCTTAAAATTCTCAATCTTGTTTTTAAATTCCTCGGTGTCTGTCTGTTCTGTAATATCATCTTCTGTAATACCTGCCAGCTGGACTCTTGACTATTCCCAGTTTTATTTGCCTTGTCATTGGCAGCCAGGCCTGCAGCAAGATAAAACCTCAATTCCATCCCGAAGCCTCTGCACATCTCTACCATTTCTTTTTGTCCTTTGAAACATGTCTTTAAACCTATACCTTTGACCAAGCCTTTGTTCACCTGTTCCAAAAAACCCCTCTGTAAATCACCTCAGCTTTACTTGAAAGAACTTGTGAAGCACCTTGGGATGTTTATATGAATGCAGTTTTGGTGGCAGTATTGTGAACGAAATAATCTTTAGTTTCTCTATTCTAGCAACTTCAGAGTCTGCTTTGATCTGTTCTGAAAGTGTTGGCATTTGGGAAAAATTGGAGTTACCCATATATAATCCCTACAGTGTGGAAGAAGGCCATTTGGCCCATCAACTCCACACCAACTCTCTGAAGAGCATTCCACCCAGACACATTCCTCCACCCTATCTCTGTAACCCTGCATTTTCCATAGCTAACCCACCTAGCCTGCACATCCCAGGACAAAATGGGCAATTTAGCACGGCCAATCTACCAAATCTGCACATCTTTGGACTGTGGGTTGAAACCAGAGCCCCCAGGAGAAACCCATGCAGACACAGGGAGAATGACTGTGTGGAGTTTGTACTGAGGGTGGAATTGAACTCTGGTCCCTGGCGTTGTGAGGCAGCAGTGCTAACCACTGAGCTACTGTGGTGCCCAGTTGAACAAACCTATCCTTAGTGCAACAAGTTGAGCAACTGTTCAAGAATTTTTGTATTAGATACATGTTTACACTATTTAATTGGCCGGTGTGGATTTGTCCTGCTTGTTGTATACCAGATGTACCTGGGTAATTTCCCTGTCCTTCTCCCTCCCCATTCTTTTCCCATTGCTTTCACATTCTAGACAACCCTATCCACACAAGATTATTCAAACCAGACTCTCTCCCCCACTGCAGCAATACTTTACGTAGCTACCCGAGACATGCAGCTTCTTCTGGATCATGGTCTTAAACTAAATTCAGTGTAGGGCCAAGAAGGCCTCAAATAGTCAGGCTGCTGCTTTAGTTTCCTTAGACTATGTTATTGAAGTTCCAGCTCCTCATAAATGTATTTCTAATGCTCCCATTATATGTCAATCAGTGTCACTAATTGAAATCACTCAGTCGTGCATTCTGAGGCATTAAACAGTCTATCCTTTAAACTTGTATGTACATTTAAAACTGAGCAATATAATCATGTGGAGGTTATTTCATCTTGGTATGAAAATTCTATTATGTAACACTGATGGTGTCTCTCTCCTGCACAGCAAACATAACTCCATCCAGGCCTGTTCCATCAGACTTGGCTGTGGTGATGTATACAAGTGGTTCTACAGGTCATCCAAAAGGAGTGATGATGGTACACAGTAACCTGATAGCGGGTATGACTGGCCAGTGTCAGAGGATACCCGAGCTGGGGTAAGTGATAAGCTTCCTGTACAGGGTTTCACTGAATTTTCAGAGATATCCAACTTGTTGAGTGAAGAACGGTCAGTCTCTCCTCACAAGCTGGTACTATTTAAATAGGCAATGTCGAACTTTCTTCTTTTCAGTTCTTAAAAAAAAAAACTTAAGCCCGAAGTTACTCTTCAGTGATAGGTACTTGGAAAGGGCACGTAGGTTTGAATGTTAAGAACAAAAACGAAGTTGCTGGAAAAGCTCAGCAGGTCTGGCAGCGTCTGTGAAGGAAAGTTCTGAGGAAGGGTCACCAGACCAGAAATGTTAAGTCTGTTTTTACTTTCATAGATGCTGACAGACCTGCTGAGCTTTTCCAGCAACTTTGTTTTTGTTCTTGATTTACAGCATCTGCAGTTCTTTTGGTTTTTATTTAGGTTTGAATGTTTACTGAAAGCGACAAATACTGGAGATCAGTGGGTCAGACAGCATCCATGGAGAGAGAGCAAGCTAATGTTTCGAGTCTAGATGACTCTTCTTCAGAGTTCTGATGAAGGGTCATCAGGACTCGAAACGTTAGCTTGCTGTCTGTCAACGACTGCCACTGGACCTGTTGTGATCTCCAGCATTTGTTTTCAGAACAGATTCTAGCATCGGCAGTAATTTGCTCCTATCTAGGTTTGAATGTCAGTCCCTGCTGAAATAGACAATATTTTACCTTCTCCTAAAGCAGTGATCATTTGACTGTGGGAACTTGCTGCATACAAATACTTTGCAACAGAAAGCTGAAACAACTTGGCTTCAATTATGTGCCTTTCCTTTGGTTTAGTTAAAGTCATGAGCGTGCAGCTGTCATAACTGAAAGATACATTGTTTAACACCGATACACCACAGCCCTGGTTATTAAACTTTGCCATCTTCCATTTAGTTAGATTAAAGTTGGAGAAGTTTTGTCATTATTTTTGCAGGCTATGCATGTGGGTTTCTGCCTTTTCACAAGAAAATCTGCTTGGAAAGTTGGTTCCAGATTTCACATTTACTTTCGCTTATCATCCAAACATCTGTTGGTTTATCTGAATGTTGTGGCGTCAAATATAAAACATAACTCATAATTATTGCTGGAACTCATTATATAAACTCCATGCTTGGCTGTAGCTCACTAGTAATGCCCTTCCTTCAGAATCAGAAGGTTGTGGTTCAAGTTCCACTCCAAAGCGCACAATTGAGACTAACGCTCCAGCACAGTACTGTGGAAGTGCTATGTTGTCAGAGGTGCTATATTTTGGGTGGAATATAAACTGAGGTCTCACCTGACCTGAAGTGGACAGGAATAATGTAGTGGCAATTATTTGAAGAAAAACATGAGTGCTCTCTACCAGAATCCTGGGCAGTATTGGCCCTCAACTTAAAGCAGTGATCATTATCTCATGACTGTGTTTCTGGAAGCTTACTGTGTACAAATACATTCCAACAGGACAATATTTTGAAGGTATTTAATTGGCTGTGAATACTTAAGAAGCAATTCCGAGGTTGTAAGAGGCATTCTAGGTATGAGCGATTCAGGACAAGGTGTGCCAAGTATTCAGAAGTTAGAGGTGCTTTTTTTTTATTGCTGTCATCTCTACTGTATTTGGTTTGGTGATTTTTCTGTTTTAAACCTCTCCTTTGTGTTTTGAAGATGGATTGTTTATATACTTTGTATCCATATTTCCTGTCAGAGTACGTAGGAAAGATCTGATCTCTGCTTGCTTTTAATAAGTTGCTTCCTTTCCAAACTCTCAAGTTTCGTGAAGACGTCCTTTATTTTAATAAAAGGGTACAACTTAAAATGTTGAAACATAAATTCCAGCCTTTTAGAAATTTCATGAGTTATTCCTTAAATCTTGCAATGTTAAATATGGAATTGTTCAGAATTAAGACCCTATTTTTGAGCATAAGAAATTAGTGTTTCTGCAACAGTCCCTTGTAGAGCTTACTAAACATAACCTATTCGGTTTTATTTTCTAGGCCCAAAGATATATATATCGGATATCTACCGTTGGCTCATGTGCTGGAGCTTACTGCAGAAATTTCCTGTGTTGCTTATGGCTGTCGAATTGGTTATTCCTCTCCCCAAACTCTATCTGACCAGGTGAGCAATGTCTCAGCCTGTGCAAAGGTCATGACCATTCTGAAGGGTTTTTGGTAATGCTGCAGTGAAATTCCTGGCAGACAACGATAGAGCTGCAGACCACTACAAGCTGGAGCGGGTTAAGAAGAGATTTACCAGGATGTTGCTGGGAATGGAGGGTTTGAGTTATGGGAGAGGCTGGATAAACTCGGACATTTTTTTGAGCGTAGGAGGTTGAGGTTGAACCTTTAGAGATTTATAAAATGAGGGGCATAGATAAAGTGAGTGTCTGGTGTCTTTTCCTGAGGGTGGGGAATTTTAAGACTAGGGATACGTTTTTAGGATGAGAAGAGAGATTTGAAAAAGGCATGAGGGGCAACTTTAAGTCAGTGGTTCGTGTGGAATTAACTTCTAGAGGAAGTGGTGGATGTGGGTACAGTTAGTGTTTAAAGTACATTTTAGATAAGTACATGAATAAGAAATGTTTGGAGGGATATGGGCCAAGCACAGGCAGGTGGAAGTAGTTTAGTTTGGGATTATGGTTGACATGAACTGGTTAGCCTGAAGGGTCTGTTTCCTTGTTGTATGACTCTAAGGAAAATGAACAACATTTCCTGGTGCACAGATTATAATTCCCATCAAACCTATCCCAAGTGTAAATGAACATTTTATTTAAAATGGGATCACGGTGCTCACTTTGCCCTTACTCTGCACTGTTTTCTGGACTTTACTACACTGATTTAGTTTGCTAACTGCTTCAACTTTTACATCAGTTGAATGTAGAGTTGAACAAGTGTGTGTTGTCAGTGTACTAATCTTGTTATGTTCTTGTACTATTTCACAGTCAACTAAAATCAAAAAAGGCAGTAAAGGTGATTGTTCTATCCTGAAGCCAACACTGATGGCAGCAGTTCCAGTGAGTAAATCTCAACTTTCAATGTTCTTTCAGCCTTTACGTATCTCCTACTCAAATTGCATTTATGCATGAAGAACGCTCCAAGCTGAGGAAATTGGGTGGTTTAGATTCAAAACGTTTAGTTTACTTTTAATTTGGCTCTAATATATCCATTTGGTGCGTAAATATGTAATGCAATGGAAGACATTGAAAAATGTTCACTTTGTTTCTCAATATGGTGATAATTGATCCAGCATTACAGTCACAAATGGATTGTGGCCCAGTTGGTTAGATAACTGCTTTTCAACGCAGAGTGACGCCAACGTTGGGGGTTCAGTTCCTGCACCAAATGAGCTTACCATGAAAGACACTCTGTCTCAATCTCTCCCCTCACCTGCGGCTTGGTTAAACTACCACCAGGTCACGTCCCTCTAATGAGAGAGCAGCCTTTTAGTTTGTTAGAACTATGGTGAATTCACAGCTGGACTGTGACATTTCGATCACTTCAATAACTCTATTCTTACCTTTCAGGAAATCATGGACCGAATCTATAAAAACGTCATGAGCAAGGTGCAGGAAATGAACTATTTACAGAGGACTTTATTTAAATTAGGTTATGATTATAAATTGGAACAAATCAAGAAAGGTTATGACGCACCCCTCTGCAGCATGTAAGCAAACTGTGGCATTTCACATAAATTTCATTTCCATTCATTAATTGCTTTGAGTAGGTTAAATATCACGAAAACAAGAGCATCTTCTGCTGTACTTTTAAAAATTTCTACCTACATCACATAGTCTGCACAAGGCCACCAGCACTTTGTTAAAGGCAATTAGGGATTGGTAATGAATAATGCTGGTTTTGTCAATAATACTCACTCCTCAGTGATTTTTTTTTTAAATTATAGCTGATTTGGATTTTTTGTCAGTTTACTGAGATCTCAGTACTCTGGCATTGCCATTATTTAATTTATGCAGCAATTTACATTTAAATAGTCTGTTTATATGATAAAGTATCTCAAAATTGTTACAGGACATTTGACAAATAATTTGACAGAATGACAAAAAGAGATGGGGTGAAAATCTTGGTCAAGGACAGGCTTAAAGGAACATCACAACAGAGAGATAGAAAGACAGGTGTTTAGGGAGAAAATTCTGGAATTTGGAACCGAAACCTCTGAAGCCGTGGCCCTTTTTGGTGGATCACTTACGAATCAGGGCTGTGCAATAGGCCAGAATTAGAAGTGCTGATATTTCGGAAGGTTATGGGGCTGGACAAAGTTGTAGAGAGGGGAAGGAGCAAGGCTGTGGAGAGAATTGAAACCCAGAGTGACTGTTTTAAAAATTGAGTGTTTGTTTTTGTACTGGGTGACAATATGTGCCATCAGACATCAGGGTGATGAGAATGGACAAGTTAGGATGTAGGCAGAGATATGGATGAACTCAACTTTACAGAGAATGTCAACTGGGTTTCTAGCTAGAGGAGAATCTTAACATGTCATCAGTTTATTCCAAATGCACAAGTCACTAGTTTGCCCAAAATACCAAGTTGTTTTTTCTAAAGTACATCTGGGAACTCTTACTAACAAAATATGACAGTGTTTTATGGCTTCTTGTCCTGTTCCAGCACCGTTGCCTCTGGTGTTCACCAAGGATCTGTCTGAGTTACTCTTTCTCATCTGCCTACAGCATTCTGGCAATATAATTTGAAGAGACAGCATTGATTTTTCACACGTACACCGACAATACCCAGCTTTATTTTATTACCACCTCTCCCTATCTCTACCATTACTAAACGATCAGATGGTTTATTCTAGTGTCCACACTGGAATGAATAGAAATTTTCTCCGATTAAATATTTCAAAAACTGAAGCCATTTGTTTTTGGCCCCGATTCCATATTCTATTCCCTAACTTCAAAAACATCACTGTTTAGAAAGAATCGGAGTCTAACCAGTCAATAATCTTTTTTATTTTTGACCCAGTAATGAGCTTTTAACTGCATGTTTGTGTCATCACTAAAAATTAAGGTGACTTATTTCTTCCTCGCTAAATTCACCACTGTCTCAGCTTATCTGCCACTGAAAACCTCCTTTCACACCTTTGTTATCTAAGAAAAGATACCTGGTATTGGAGGCAGTCCAGAGAAGGTTCACTTGGTTAATCCTGGGTGTGGGGCGATTTCCTTATGAGGAGAAGTTGAGTAATTGTTGGGCTTGTACTCATTGGAGTTTAGAAGAATGAGAGGAGACCTTATTGAACATAAGATTTTTAGGGGACTTGAGAGGGTAGATGTGGAAACATTGTTTCACCTGGTAGAAGAACCTAGAACTGGTGGGCATCATCCCTCTGTAAGGAGTTTATAATTTAAGTTACGTCTAAGACAGAGATGAGGAGGAAATTTCTCCTCCTGAGGGTAGTGAATGTGTGGAATTCTTTACTGCAGGGGACTGTCTAGGCTGGATCATTGAGTATATTCCAGGCCAAGAGCAATTTGTAATCGGGAAGGAAATCTGGTGTTTATGGGATTAAGGCAGGAAAGTGGAGTTGAGGGATATCAGGTGAGCCAGGATCTCAGTGAATGGTGGAATTGAGTTGGTGGGGCAACGTTCACTTTAAGCTGTGCATGTGCCCAGCTGCTCTGATCTTCTACACATGGAGATCAGTGTCAACGTGCCAATCTTGTCAATCTTGTATTGACTTCAACTTCCAGAAGTAGCGGCTGCTCACTGCCTCAGAGATCTGTAGTCAGTAAATTTAGAGGGAACTCTTGCCGTTGGGTGAAATGACCAACATCTGCTCTTACACTTTGTCGTCTTGTTACCTCTAAGCTCGAATATTTTGACATATTCTTGATTGCTTTCCCACATTCTACCTTTTCTGAAATATTGAGTTCATCCAAACGTTTGTCTGAGTTTAACTGACAGTGAGGTTTGTTTCCTTATGTTTGCTGATCTATGTAGACTGCCAGTCAAACAGTAGTTTGCTTTTAGAATTCTGGTACTTATTTTAAAACCTGTGGCCTCACATTTCTCTACCTCTGTAATCTCTTCAGCCACACAAGCCACTATGATATCTATACTGATCCTTGATTTTAATCACTGCACCATTGATGGCCAGGCCTTCAATTGTTTAGGTGCTAAGTTTTCTCTCCTACCTTCCCTACACCTCTCTACCTCAATTTCCTCCCTTGACAATCTCCTTAAACCTACCTCTTGACCAAGCTTTTGGTAATCTGACCTAATATTTCCTATGTGGCTCACTTTTTTTTTGGTTCCACAATATTCCTGTGAAATATCTCGAGACATGTTTATGTTAAGGCTGCTGCATAAATACAATTTTGTTTTGTGCATTATGGGGACACAGATTTGTACACACTTGAGAAGTCTAAGTGTTGTCGTTTTTGGTGTTTGGAACCTCAATACTAAATATCGCTTCTGACTCTCATTTCAATTTTTTGCTGTCTTGTAATAGGATATTATTTAAAAGAGTGAAAGCCCTGTTGGGAGGAAATATTCGAATGATGCTGTCTGGAGGGGCTCCCCTTTCTCCGCAAACACAAAGGTTTATGAATGTGTGTTTCTGCTGTCCAATAGGCCAAGGTTATGGCCTGACTGAGACATGTGGGGCTGGAACCATCACTGAAGGTGAGAAGGATGTGATAAAGTGGTGCTCCTTCACAAGTGAAAAATGCATCTGAGAGACCAAAACTAAAATCTGAAAAGCCAATTGTGGACTTTTTAAATATACTTAATAGAAGAAAGTGGAACTGTTGAAAAATGGCAGAATCTACACTATTAGCCTGATTAATTTGAGTGATAATTTTCTAATTTTTTATTTTGTTCAAATAGTTTCCAAAATTCTCGTACATGTATTAAAAGTAATTCACCATAGTGCCAGAGGAGCTTACTGGGGGTCAGTTAGCTCAGTTGGCTGGTGCCCGAGTTGTGATAGTTCACTTCCTGAACCAGCTAAGCTTACCACAAAAGTCTTGACTCCTCAACCTTGCCCTCTGACTGAAACGTCATCACCCTCGACTCCGTACTGGTCAGCTCTGAGGGAGCAGCCTATGATCCTAAACTATGACCTATTTTCATTCTTTGACTGTGTTTGTGCTTTTAGTTTTAAGAAATGGAATTCTGTGCTCTAATTGCTTGCTCACTGAAGCCAATGAGAGAGCTGCCAATGAGAGAAGATCTTTGTCTTGTTTCATGTGCTCATGTATTAATGTTTTCAATGTTTTAGGTAGAGGAGCTTTCAGCATTTAAATAGAGGAAGTATGGGGAGATGGTCAGTCAACATATGAAAAGAGTACAGCCTAAAACTTTGATTAATTCACTCTGAGCTGGTCATTGCTCATGGCTGCTCCTGCTTTGGTGCAATATTTCAGGGTTTTGAATGACTATGTTGGTGTTCAGAGTGTCTACCATGAGTAACACTTAGCTATATTTATGAATATTATTAGCACAGACTGTTCAAAGTTCATTGATACGTCTGGGAAAGACAACTAAAAATGCAACTTCTCTCCCTTTTCCATGCCTTCTGTCAGTTGTGAGAGTCAGTTAGTTCAGTTAGCCGGATGGCTGGTTTGCAATACAGTGTGATGCTAACACTGCCTGAATCAGCTGAGGTTACCATCGAAGGATTCTCCTCAACCTTCCCCTAACCTGAGGCGTGGTGAACGTCTCATGAAAGAGTAGTGCTATGGTCTGGTAAGACTATGGTAACTTTACCTCTACCTTATCTACTAAGTGACATGGACAATGAACGTAGAACATTACGGCGCAGTACAGGCCCTTCGGCCCTCGATGTTGCGCCGACCTGTGAAACCAATCTGAAGCCCATCTAACCTAAACTATTCCATTATCATCCATATGTTTATCCAATGACCATTTAAATGCCCTTAAAGTTGGTGAGTTTACTACTTTTGCAGGCAGGGCAACTTACTACTCTGAGTAAAGAACCTACCACTGACATCTGTCCTATATCTATCACCCCTCAATTTAAAGCTATGTCCCCTCGTGCTAGCCATCACCATCCGAGGAAAAAGGCTCCCACTGTCCACCCTATCTAATCCTCTGATCATCTTGTATGTCTCTATTAAGTCACCTCTTAACCTTCTCTCTAACGAAAACAGCCTCAAGTCCCTCAGCCTTTCCTCATAAGACCTTCCCTCCATACTAGGCAACATCCTGGTAAATCTCCTCTGCACCCCTTCCAATGCTTCCACATCCTTCCTATAATGCGGTGACCAGAACTGTACGCAATACTCCAAGTGCGGCTGCACCAGAGTTTTGTACAGCTGCAAGATGACCTCACGGCTCCGAAACGCAATCCCTCTACCAATAAAACCTAACATACCGCACGCCTTCTTAACAACGCTATCAACCTGGGTGGCAACTTTCAGTGATCTATGCACATGGACACCGAGATCTCTCTGCTCATCCACACTACCAAGAATCTTACCATTAGCCCAGTACTCTGTATTCCTGTTACTCCTTCCAAAGTGAATTACCTCACACTTTTCCACATTAAACTCCATTTCCCACCTCTCGGCCCAGCTCTGCAGCTTATCTATGTCCCTCTGTAACCTGCAACATCCTTCCGCACTATCCACAACTCCACTGACTTTGGTGTCATCTGCAAATTTACTAATCCATCCTTCTACGCCCTCATCCAGGTCATTTATAAAAATGACAAACAGCAGTGGCCCCAAAACAGATCCTTGAGGTACACCAGTAACTGAACTCCAGGATGAACATTTCCCATCAACCACCACCCTCTGTCTTCTTACAGCTAGCCAATTTCTGATCCAAACCGCTAAATCACCCTCAATCCCATGCCTCCATATTTTCTGCAATAGCCTACTATGGGGAACCTTATCAAACGCTTTACTGAAATCCATATACACCACATCAACCGTTTTACCCTCATCCACCTGTTTGGTCACCTTCTCAAAGAACTCAATAAGGTTTGTGAGGCACAACCTACCCTTCACAAAACCATGTTGACTATCCCTAATCAAATTATTCCTTCCTAGATGATTAAAAATCCTGTCTCTTATAATCCTTTCCAACACTTTACCCACAACCGAAGTAAGGCTCACTGGTCTATAATTACCAGGGTTGTCTCTACTCCCCTTCTTGAACAAGGGGACAACATTTGCTATCCTCCAGTCTTCTGAAAATGAAAGCATCTGAAAATGAAGCCATTAAACTGAGCTTCAGTAACATGGTTTGAAGTTGTTTTAAAATATTTAGTCTTTTTACACCGAAGTATTGTTTAAACTCAATTGTCATCAGTGATTAAATTGCAGTAATCCATTGACCCTCTGCCGCACTATATGTATTGCTGCTCATGCTGTTACTTGTATGAATTCACCCTTTCCCAGGTATTAATGATGTTTGTCTAATGTTGCACTGTGTGCTGTGATGGATATGTTATCATTCAGAAGTCCTTACCTGAAGAGGAATGTATTGTTAAATACCAATCTTTCAAGTGGAAAGAAGTTGTTGATCTTGATGGGTCTAATGCATGTTTCAACACAGGAACCTGATGGTATGCAGGCATGCATAAAAATTTCATTTTATCTGCAATACTGGCCCCACAATAAGGTGCAAATGTATGTAGCTTAACGTACCGTCTATTTAAATTATTACTGGTACGCCTGGAAGGATTCTAAATTCTAACTCTCTGGTGTTTTGTAATTTTAGTACAGGACTACAGCACAGGCAGAGTTGGAGCCCCGCTGATCTGTTGTGAAATCAAGCTGAGAGATTGGGAAGAAGGTACTTGTTACAGTGTTCTAGATATCAGCTCCCCTTGGGCTAACTCTGGAATTCTCCTTTCTGTAGACTTCAGGGTCTTGGCACTGTAGCATTATATGCAAGAATTAAAACCCTTTGACATTACACCACGAACCTTGTACTTTTCTAGACCAGATGCAAAATGAAGTGATCAAATTGAGCCTTAGTAACACAGTTTGAAGTTGTTTCATAAAATATCTAATCTTTTGACACCAAAGTATTGTTTAAACTCAATTGTCATCAGTGAGTAGATTGCAGTAACACATTGTCCCTATGCTGCATTACAAATCTGTCAAGGGAACGATACAGAGACATTGTGGCCAGTGGCACAGGAGCACTGCCTCAAGGTTAGAGTCAACTTCCATCGTCAATCATGCTGGCTTTTTAAAAATACGGTGGTGTTCTCTTTTCAAGTGGACAGTAAGATTTCATAAGAGTTGCAATCTTTCTACTTTACCCAAGTCATTGCATCAGCAGAAATACCTGGGACAGAGCCAGGGAATTAAACCAAATGGATCATTCTTTCAAAGAGCTAACATGGGCGTGATGGGTCATTTATTACTGTGTAACTATGACAATACAGCTGAGTCGAAATTTTTGTGACATGATCCTGCTGTTTTCAAGTTCTGCTGTTTCTGACAGGGTCATTGGCCAATGGTGAGGTATAGAAACTTGCTTTGTCTTTCTTTTGCCATGGACCTTCAAATCCTCTGTACCCATACCACTACCAGCTTAAAGTGGTACAGACCAGGTTTTAATTTGGCTGGTACACAGCTATTCTAGTTTACTGTGCATTTCCCAAAGGAGTCGAGCAGAATTTTTTTTAGATAAACAAGTAACAAAATTGATTACAGTGCTAACTTGTCATTTATAATCTGAATTAAACTATCATTTGAGAAATTTAAGGGCAGCATGGTGGCTCGGTGGTTAGCACTGCCGCCTCACAGTGCCAGTGACCTGGGTTCAGTTCCACCCTCGTGTGACTGTCTGTGTGGAGTTTGCACATTCTCCATGTCTGTGTGGGTTTCCTCCCACAGTCCAAAGATGTGCAAGTTGTGGATTGGCCATGCTAAAGTACCCATAGTGCACAGGGATGTGTAGGTTAGCCATGGGAACTGCGAGGTTACAGGGATGGGTGGGGTGGGCGTTGAGAGGATGGATCTGGGTGGAATGCTGTTTAGGGAGTCGGTGTGGACTCAATGGGCCGAGCAGCTCCTTTCCACCCTGCTAGAGATTCTATGATTCTACAATTTGAGTGTTAGGGAATAACCAAGATGTTTTGTTAAATGAATAACAAGTTTCTGAAAGCTCAAGGGAGTTGAGCTATAGGCTTAATACTCATTGATCCTCATTGTCACATTGAAGGAGGATACACTACTCGTGATCAGCCCAATCCAAGAGGAGAGATTCTGATTGGTGGACCAAATGTGGCTATGGGGTACTTCAAAAATAATAAATCCAGCGATGATTTTTTTGAGGATGACAGTGGTCAGCGTTGGTTTTGCACAGGAGATGTTGGTGAATTCCACCCAGATGGCTGCTTACAGATAATTGGTAAGTGACAATGAGAAGGTGTAACCTGAGTGGAAGGACAGAGTTTGATGTTGGCAAGGGAAATCCCAAGACTAAACATGAACACGCATTTTTCTTTAAATTCTGGTAAATATCTTCTTTTTGCTGTTCTCTTTGCTGTCCTATGCTGAATCTACAAATGATTAATAGTGTAACGTTAAGACTTGATCCCTATGCAAGTGAGCTAATTTTCTCTGGATGACAGTGAGCAGCTGCAATTGATCTATCTGACAGGGAGGTTAGCAATACATTGCAGCTGCTGATCACTACCTCATGCTCAGTGTTCCTGGACTTTAGATGAGTATACAGTCTGGATAGGTTCCTCTTGTGGCGTAGTGGTAGTGTCCTGATCCCTAGACCGGGAAGCCTGGGTTCAAGTCCCATCTACTCTCAATGTGTCATAACATCTCTGAACAGGTTGACTTTTTTAAAATTTGACTTTATTTTTTTAAAAAATTATACAGTCTGGGTTAGCAGTAATACCATCCCTGTTTACAAGCATTGTTGAGTTATTATCTGGGCTTGCTGATGAACAGTGATTTTGAATCTCTGGGTTGATACTCACCTTCAGTCAGCTGCTTTGGAAGAAGAAAATGCGAAGAATGTTGTTTCAGTGACGACACTTGTTTGTTTTTATCTTCTTTTCAGAGAGAGTTTTGTAAATTCCTTTATACTTGGTGCGTAAGAATTTTTCAGTTTCTGTGGAAAAGCAGAATTTGATTTCTAGTTTTGTCCTTACTGAGAGCTATTTAGAAGTCGGTTTTCCAAGTCTCTAAACACTGCCCAGGTTTGGCCATTGTGATTTGATATCAGCTTGAACACCAGGAGAAGGTGTATTTTTTTTTTTCAAATTTTTTCAAATTCAGTACTTGAGGCATTCTATAAATCACTTATCTATCAATCTCTGTCTTTTTTTTTCAGAAATTTGAATTCATGTAGTAATATTATAACTGTTTGCTCTATAGATCGCAAGAAAGATTTAGTGAAACTACAAGCTGGAGAATATGTCTCTTTGGGCAAAGTTGAATCTGCTTTAAAGAGCTGTTCCCTCATTGATAATATCTGTGCATATGCAAACAGGTAAGATTAAATATCTGTCACTGTCTGGTAATTATACTGTGCAATTAATTGTAACACTTTTTTTTAAATTTGGTTTTTGTTTTTGTTTTTGTTTCAATGTATCAGATAGCCAAAGGGGATTCATAAATATTTTTTCTCTTTCAAAAATGGGTCAGTTGAAGGCAAATATAAATAAGGGCCATAGATCTGACATTTCTTATTAAGAACAAGGGGTTAATTGGAAGTCATACGCTGTTCTGATCAGGGAAGAAGTTAGAGGTTCAATGTAGTGAAAAGACAAATAAAATTATTTTGTGCCAGTAATTACCCCTCCTGTGGAGTGCTTTGTGCCATATTGTTCACCATTAAACCACATGCGTGTGCGAATATGTTAGGCTACTTAATAAGTTGAGAGCCCATGGTGTTGGAGGTAGTATGGATACAGGATTGGCTAACTAAGAGTTGCGATAAGGGAGGCATTTTTAGGATGGCAACTTGTGACACACCATTAGTTAACAAGAATCAATGCTGGGGCCATAATTCTTTAAAATATATGTTAATGGCTTGGATCAAGAAAGTGAAGGCAATGGCCTAGTGGTACTATCGCTGGTCTGTTAATCCAGAGACCCAGCTAATGTTTCAAGGACCGAAGTTCGAATCCTGCCACGGCAGATGGTGGAATTTGAATTCAATAAAAATACCTGGAATTAAGAATCTAACAATGACCGTGAATCCATTGTCGATTGTCGGAAAAACCCGTCTTGCTCACTAATGTCCTTTTAGAGAAGGAAACTGCCATCCTTACCTGGTCTGGCCTACATGTGACTCTAGACCCACAGCAATGTGGTTGACTCTAAGCTGCCCTCTGGGCAATTAGGGATGGGCAGTAAATGATGCCTGGTCAGCAATGCCCTCATCCCTTGAATGAATAAAGGAAAAAAAAACTTACCACCATGTTTGCAGATGCCACAAAATTAGGTGCGAAGGCAAGTGGTGAGGATGACCTAGTCTACAGGAGAATATAGACAGGTTAAGTGTGTGGGCAATATCTTGGCAGATGGAATATAATGTGAGGAATTGTGAGGTTATGGACTTTTTCAGGAAGAATAGAAAAGCTGAATAATACTTAAATGAAGAGAGGCTGGAGAACATCACAGAGGGATTTGAGAGTCCTTGGTAATGAATCACAAAAAAACACTAGCATCCAGTTCAACAGCTAATAGGAAAGGCAAAGGGAATGTTGGCCATTATTTCAAATGGAATAGGGAAGTCTTGTAACAACTACACAAGGCATTAGTCAGACCACAGCTGAAATACAGTGGACAGTTTTGGTCCCTTATCAAAGGAAAAATATTCTGGCATTAGAGGCAGTCCAAAGAGGTTCATTTAGACCAGTAGGTTTGGAGGATCTGTCTTAGAGTTCAGTTGGTTGGGCCTTTACTCATTGGAGTTTAGAAGAATGAGAGGCAACCTTATTGAAACACAGAAGATTCTTAGGGGGCTTGAAAGATTAAATGCAGAAAAGTTGTTTCCCCTTGTGGGAGAGTCTACGATCAGAGGGCATGATTTTAAGACTGGGACAAGGAGGGATTTCTTCTGAGACAAGTGAATCTGGAGTTCACTGCCACAGAAGGTTGTAGAGGCTGGGTCGCTAAGTATATTCAAGGCTGAGATAGACAGATTCTTCAACAGCAAGGGAATCAAGGATTATAGGGAAAAGGCAAGGAAGTGAAGTTGAAGATTATCAGATCAACCGTTATCCCACTGAATGGCAGCACAGACTCTGGGCTGAATCACCAGCTTCTGCTCCTTTGTTTCATAACAAAGGAAAAATGATATTGTCTGTGACGATGTGCAGATTTAACCAGGGCGAATACCTGGTCTCGGGAATCTTAATTTGAAGAAAGACTAAAGAAATTGAGATTGGAGGTGATAGGGAGGGAAGTGAGACTGCTGGCTAAGAGGCATTGTAAAAATTAGAGATGTTTGATTTAAAGTAAACATGAAATGTCGGTAGTGCTGCTAAGATGAAGTAAGTTAGCAGAGAAGACTACTGAAACAGAAACAACTTGGATTTATATTGTGCCTCAAACATTGTAAAGCCCCTGGGATATTTTAGTTAGTGGAAAAGCTCAGCAGGTCTGGCAGTGTCTGTGAAGAAAAAATCGGAGTTAACGAGTTCTGAAGAAGGGTCACCGGACCCGAAACGTTAATTGATTTTTTTTTCTTCACAGATGCTGCCAGTCCTGCTGAGCTTTTCCAGCAATTTCTGTTTTTGTTCCTGATTTACAGCATCCGCAGTTCTTTCAGTTAGTGTTGTCAAATAAAATCTGATGCAAAGCAACATAAGCAATTATTAGGATAGATGATGAAATATATAGAATTTAGTGAGTGTCTTTAACAGAGACAGAGAAACTTAGAGGGAATTCCTGACTTTAGGATGTAGATAGCTGAAGACATGCCACCATTAATGAATTGATTAAAATAAAGCATGTACAAGAGGCCAAAATTGGAAGATGCAGAAATCGCGAATATTGTAGGGATGGAGCACAGTGCAGAAATAAGTCAGCATGATGTTATGGAGAACTTTATAAACATGTTGCACAACAACAAGAGACAGACCTGCTTGTGGGAGAAAAGGGTTGGGCAGAGGTGGTGTGAAGGTGAGGTCCAGGGCCAGTAAAGATGGCAGCCTTGTGAGCCAAATAGCATTTTCTTTTTCCCCTGTATATTGTGTTGTGACTCAAGTGCAAGGTTTACACTCATTTGACAATAAGTAGAGAATGTACTTACTATTTGTTTTAATTAAAGTCATTACGGCTTTGAAACTTAGAATCACCCATGCCAAGTGACTCCAGTAGTTGCCTTTAATGGGAGATTTGTGAACTTTAGGATGTTTCTTTAAAGTTTGACAGTAATAAATCTGGATAGGCTTTACAGAATGAAGAACAAAATACAGCATAGAAACAGACGCTTTGGCTCTCCGAGCCTGCACCAGCACGTTTTGCCCTTCAATACTGTCTTCACTTAGAGGATCCGTATCCCTCTATTCCCTTCCTATTCATGTATTCGTCCAGGTGTTTCTTGAATGCTGCTATTGTGTCTGCTTCCACCACCTCCTCTGGCAGCACGTTCCAGGCACTCACCACCCTTTGTGAAAAGCTTGCCTCATACATCTCTCTTTGAACCCCACCACTACCATACCCTAAACCCCCACCCCCCACACAAAGACATGCAGACATGAGCTTTGACCCCTCCACCCTGGGGAAAAAGCCTCATACTTTCCACTCTATCCATAACAATCACAATCTTTTAAACTTCTATCAGGTCACCCCTCAACCTTCTGCATTCCAGTGTAAACAAGCCCAGTCTATCCAATCTTTCTACATAGCTAAAATCCCCCATACCGGGCAACATCCTAGTAAACCTTTTCTGTACCCTCTCCAAAGCATCCACTTCCTTCTGGTAGTGTCGTGACCAGAACTGTACGCAATACTCCGTGTGGCCTAACTAATATTCTACAAAGCTGCAGCATAACTTGCCTATCCTTATACTCAATGCCCCTTCTAATGAAGGTAAGCATGCTATAGGCCTGTTTTACAACCTTATCTACCTGCACTGCCACTTGCAGTGATCTGTGGACCTGCACACCCAGATCCCTCTGCATATCAATACTGCAAAGTGTTCTGCCATTCACTGTATAAACTTACACCAGTACCTATCCTTCCAAATGTATCACCTCACATTTGTCCAGGTTAAATGCCTTTTTTTTTTTTTTTTTTTTGTTTTGGCCCATGCCTCCAACTGATCTATATCCTGCTGTATCATCTGACAATCCTCTTCACTATCCGCAACTCCACTAAGTTTTACATCGTCTGCAAATCCACAGATTTGAACACTTAGAATACTTTTATGTAGCTATATACAATGTTGGGTTTCAAGGGTTTTCCACATTTCCATTTGTTTTATCCTTGCCCCTATTATGATGCAAGGCACTGGAGTTCAGGTAAAGATGCTGTCCACTTATTGCAATGATGGACTTGTTGATCTATAGCTAAACAAGGCGGCACAGTGGCTCAGTGGGTTAGCACTGCTGCCTCACGGCGCCAGGGACCCAGGTTCGATTCCATCCTCGGGCGATTGCCTGTGTGGAGTTTGCACATTCTCCCCGTATCTGCGTGGGTTTCTTCCTACAGTCCAAAAACATGCAGGTTAAGTGGATTGGCCGTGCTGAATTGCCCATAGTGCTCAGGGATGTGTAGATTAGGTGGGTTATGCAGAGTTACAGGGAAAGGGTAGGGGATTGGATCTGGGTGGGATGCTTTTCGAAGGGTCGGTGTGGACTTGTTGGGGCGATTGGCCTGTTTCCACACTGTGGGGATTCTATGATTCTGAATGTAGGGAATAGAGAATATTGTACTCGTTCACATTCTAACTGCTTAATTTTTTTGGCATCTTGCTGCAAATCTACTTGCTGATGGTTTGATACTGAGAAATGCTTTGAAGCCTGGCAATGTCCAATCACCAGAACACGGAGGAAGTCGAATATTTAATAGTTGCACAATTTTAATCACAGGAAGCAAGGCAGATATTTCATGTGAATTGGTAGAAATATTTCCAGCTTACCAGTCCCTGGTTGAGGAAATTACAAAGCATCGATAGGGGGGACAAAATTAATGCGTGTAACAGGAAACTAAATCAAGAGTCGAATCTTACCCTCTGGCATATACCTTGTGGTTGAACCTAAATCCACATTTTTTGTTTCCTTCGCAGTGAACAATCTTACGTGATTAGTTTTGTGGTACCCAATCAGAAGAAGTTGACTGCCCTTGCGGAGCAGAAACAAGTTCAGGGAACGTGGGAGGAAATTTGTAACGATAGCAAGATGGAAGCTGAAGTACTGCGGGAGATCAAAGAAGCATCAGCATCCAGTGAGTACACTTCACCCATTAGCCTCCCCTTGGCACTCAATCAGCACTTTAGGAACAGACCATCTGATGCGACTGTGTGGATCTTTGTTTTTTTTTTGTTCGTTCATGGGATGTGGGGAACACTGGCTGGGCCCATCACCAACCCCTTGAGTAGCCAGTGGTGGGCTGCCATCTTGAATCATGTGCAGATGGGCAAAAGGTATATCCACAGAGCTGTTGAAGTTACATGATTTTTGATTCAACAACAGTGGGGAAAAAGTGGTGATTATAGTTACAAATTGTGGACTGTAGGAGAACTTTTTAAGCAGGTATTTTCTGCGCTCATCCTTCATGGTAGAAGTCGTGAGTTTGAAGGGTGCTGTTGAAGGAGAGTTTTAATTGGAACACATGACCAACACTAAAATATATACATCTGGGTGAAATATTTGTAACAAAAGTAAAAAATTACTAGAGAAACTCGGCAGGTCTGGCAGCATCTATGGAGACAAAGCAGAGTTAAAGTTTAGAGTCCAGTGACCCTTTCAGAATTCAGATGTTGCCAGACCTGCTGAGTTTCTCTGGCAATTTCTGTTTTCTGTTTCAGATCTTCAGGATCCGTAGTTCTTTTATTTTTAGGTGAAGTATTTATTCACTATCTTTAATCATCAGTTTCTGCTCTTTAAAATGCATATGGCGCAACCAAAGTCACATGTTCTGACTTTAGTCTGACAAAAATCGGATTCAATTAGTGTGTGTAATATCTCAAAATTAAGAAGAAAAATGTTGGTGGCTTCATTGCACAGCAGGTTACAGAGTTAGTGCTTCGCCATGATATTAATCAGTTGAGAAAGATGTGATGTTACAGACATGATTTCTGATGTTACTGAGTTTCATGAGTCATCTCAAAGTTAGAGAAAGCAAGGCTGTGACATGATTTTAAAGGGAGGGCTTAATGGGGAGAGATACTGTTGAAAGTCTACAGGTTTTAATTACAAGTTGCATCTGTCATTTTATCTCAGGTAAACTAGAGAAGTTTGAAGTCCCTGTGAAGGTTCGTTTGAGCCCAGAGCCTTGGACTCCTGAGACTGGATTGGTAACAGACGCCTTCAAGCTTAAGAGGAAAGAACTAAAGAACCACTACCTCAATGACATTGAGAGGATGTATGGAGGGAAATAGATTCTTCAAACCCCTGGATAATATATTTATGGTGCATACAGAAAGGTAGTGCATCTATAAATTGAAAGGACAGTGATTAATTCTAAACAGAAATTAATGAACCCAAATGGGCAGTGTTCCACCAAAAGGTTTTTTTCTCCAATGTATTCACTCTTACTTGAACATTTAAAAAAAAACAAGCAATTGGAAATTTTCTTGAAGGTTGTAAGGTTCCACATGTACCTACCTGCGACTGATGACCATTGTCCTCTTGCATGTTTGTTTTTTTTTGATCTGTTTTTTACCTTTTTGGTTTTGTTTTATTTTCCTTTGTGTGGGGACCACCAGCTGGTTATACAGGAAATGCTGGGGAGCAAGAACTGAAGTTGTTAATGTAAATGAGCTTTTTTAAAAAAAAAAGTGACCGTTTTCTTTCCTATATTCTTTCTTTCTTTCTTTCTTTATTTAACAAAGAAAACAAAACGAGGTTTCTCAGTGCAGCTTAAACCTCTCAAATCCCCAATCAGGTGGTGGCACCAGTTTTTGATGTGATGTTTGCACTAGAACTATTTCATGTTTGTATAAAATGTTGCTGAAAGTATTTTGGTTCTTAGAAATGCATAGAACATTTTTTCCTATTTACACCACAGTTGTTTAACTGTCATGATTGCAGATTGATATTGTTTTTTTAAACTTGAACCTGCTGAAAATTGATATGACTGGGCAACTTTTAATTGTCTTTGTGATAATAAATAGTGGCTGTGTAGTTTGTCAGTACCACAGTAGTAAAGTGCTCACTGGCCTTTTCCTGGAGGGACTCGGCTAACTCAATGTGTCTTCATGGTGTGATATCAACTTAACCTGTAAAAGAACAATCCTTCTGGTCCCCAGAATACCCTGTGATGAACGTTTATGGACAATGATGGTTAGAGTGGCTTCATAGATAAGTAATCTATCCACTACGTGTAAATGCCATCTCTGGAGTTCATTGCTTTGGTAAAAGCCCAAGTCTTTTTTTTCCAAAGGTGTCTCCATACACCCTCGATATTTTTGTGTTGTAAACAAGCATTGCATGAACCAAGAGAGACTAGGCTTTGGAGCTGCTGTTACTTGATCACTTTGGAGAGACTCCTGTAGACGATACACCAGTGTGGATGTTCATTGAAGAGAGAATTTGCCTTCTACGTGATGATTGTGAATGCATGTGCACAGATGTCAACAGCTTGTCTAATCCTTTCACTCAAAAGAATCATTTGACAAACTTACTGGAGAGAGGCAACTGATATTCTGTGCAGCTTTATTCAGGGCTGAGTCAGGAGCCTTTTGAGGAGAAGGGAAAAGTACCTTGTATGATAGCTAGACTATATTTAATTATCCACTTCGGGTAACCTAGCGGTAGTCAGTATCTTGTAAAATTATCCATTGGGCAAGCACCTTTTGGGTTGTTAAAATACATCTTTAATTATGCATTTGGCTGGTTCCTTTGACATTTTTGGAAGCAAGGTACTTCATTACCAAGTTTTTTGTTTTTTTTGTTCTTACCCACTTAGAAAGCTGTAATGAATCTTGCTACTCCATTCCCCTCCCTGAACACACTTACGCTATTAGCATGCCATTAGCTAAGAGTATTGAGATGCTATGGGTGGCCAATAATTGGGCAAAATGAAAATCTGACAGAAAAGCAGCTGGTTTTCCAATGATTATCCTTTTTTAAAAGAAGGATGTGCCTAAGAGGGAAAAGGGACTGAAACCCTTGATAAGTGGTTTGCTTACTGTGAGTTACCTTGTCTTTTGTATATGTAAAAGCTGTCTGCTTTACATTTGTGTGATATACCATCTTATGTTTGGCACAGCCTTTCTGAAACAATCCTGGTACTGTCAAGTTTTGTACTGGGTTAGGTCATAGCAGTCATTCATGTATGTATCATCTATCTGAGTCAGGTTTAAAGCTAATTCACAAACAAGAGATTTTCATTTAAGGCTGTGACTCGAACAGTTCATGCTGAAAAACAGGATATTTAAAATCCAGTTAGTAATCCGTTATGGAGTCATTTGTATCAAGACCTTGTATCAAATTTCAACAACTGGAATATAAATTGAATGCTTTAAGACTCCACCCAGGCCTCTGTGCTCGTTAAAGATCTTTTCCTTAACTCAATTTAATTCAATGATTGTGTCCCCTTTAAGAAAGTAAAAACAAGTAGCTGATGTAAAATGCTGAGTGAAATTTAAATGCTGTACATTTTTTAAAATGTCTGATTTGGAATGAAACGGGTCAGGGCTTAATACAAACGATTGTTTATTTGAGTTTTAAATTAGTGTTTTTATATATCTATCAGCTTTCTGAAAGCTGGTCCTTCAGAGAAACATTCTAAACATCAGTACAGTCTATATCAAAAGTGCTTATGTGGGGAATCACGTGACTGTAATTTCTGTACTTGACTGTCAATTGTCTTGTATATATTTAATGTGTAAATGGGAGGAGCAAACACAAGTTAAAGTTTCATTATTTTGAGTGTTTTGAGGTTTCCCATTTTAAATTGCTCTTTTTCCTTTGGAGCAGTATGAGAGTGTGATTTGTGTTCCACTTCCAAATGGGCCATTATGTTATATAAGTACTTTTGCAAGGTTTCAGAAAATTCAATGTCTAAAAAGCACTTAAGTCAGTCCTGATGGTCTCATGGATAAAAGTACTGCTGGTGTGGTACTGAGCTGCAGTCATCACAAACAAGATTTGTTTCCTAAACCTTGCTAATTATTGATTTAGGGTGATGGCCAAGTAACCACATTTTGGGTTAACAAGTGAAAAAGGACAAAAAAACCTCCCCATGAACCATGGTTCATGCTCTTGATTACTATCCAGTGATCTTTTGGGAGGCCTGTTGTTGGATGTTGGGCAAGAGCAGTACCCTCACCAACAATACGTCCAGCTCTCCCCTTCAAGGCGCTCCTAGAGAATAACTGTTTTGGGTGAGTGTGTGTGTGTTGCTAGCAGCCCCCATGGCACCAGTATCAGCTGAAGAAATGGGGTGAGAGTGCGTCATAAGAAGGTTCACAAATACCCCAAAAAGTACAGAAAGAACATTCTGTAGTATCCATTATGCCATCTCTTGGCATCAAGTACTCCATCTACTGGTAAGTCATTGTAATGGCTTTGGGTTTCCAGAAGCCCTTTTTTACCTCTCTAGTTTTCACCTCTGTTTACAGTAGACATCCTTCTATTGTGTTGAATGCACTATCTCTATATTCCTAATGAATGTGTGCAACCAGTGATCCCAACAATGGGCACTGCCGCCTCCAATGGACCTGTTGGTGGAGGTGGAGTTTCTCTTTTCTGTAGTGACATGGCTTTTGACAGTGAGCCTTATTTAAATGACATTTCTCCTTTCTACATATCATTGAACTGGCTCTGTTATCTCAGGCAATTTCCTGCTCCTCAGGGTCCCAAAATGTAACTGTTTGATTGTACAGGTAGGAAGGTGATCTTGGAGGAAATCTGTGTGAAGAAACTTATTGACCATTTTTAGCCATGGGTGGTGAAGAAGCGTCTACTTAGAAAAGCAAATGTCATATAAACATGCTCTTTCAGATGTGACCCACTTCCTTTTCTTAAGGGTACCCTGGTATCAGCAATGAGATACAGTCAATGACAAGAGGCTGTGTTGCCAAAGATTTTGAGGGTTCATAAATATAGCCTTCGTTCCATCCATAATTCCATCAACATCAGGATCATGCCTGAATATTTCTATTCATTTTAATGATTTTCCCCTTCTCACTTCTGCCAGCAGAGTGCGATTATCTTTGGGCTGATTTGAAAACACCATTGCTCAATATTGATGACTTATTTTGATGTCTTTTGGCTATTGAATATTTGTATAACAACATCAGGCATAATTAAAACTCAGTTATTTATCATTCATGCATTTGAATTGCTCATGGCTGTTTTCTTGATTTTATTTTAAGCCTGCATTATGACAGCCAAATATGTAAAATAAATGTTTCTGTGGAATTTTAGAGTGTGAACCATATCCGCCTCACAGATTTATATAAATAAAAAACAGTTTCTTGGCACAATCAATGGTAGTTGCTGTTCTGTTTTATTTGGAGATTCTTCATAAAAGTGCTTATTGTGTATTTTGTGCTCATTGTGGGATGCTTCTTTATGTCAGAGCTTCAGTCGCAGTAGCTGTATTGGGAAAGACCCTGTATGACTGACCTGAGGATACTGTGTTCGGTGCCTGATCTGTTTCATTAGCTGATCTTTACTAGATCAATTGGTTGAAGCACCACCCTGCTAAGGAAGGGGATAAGTTAACCACCAGTCCCACTTCTGATTCCGTCTCTAATCTGCAGAGAGCAATGAGCTTGGTGTTATTAAGGGTAGTCCTGGAGTGACTACCTTTTATTGCCCGTTTCTAGTTCTTAATGGTTAAATGACTTTCTAGACAACATCAGAGTCTTGAGAGTCATCATCACTCGGACTGGGTAGGAGTCTTATGCTTGTTTTGCCTGAAGAGAATTAGTAAACCAGTTGTAAATATGGTGTAGATCCAGAGAAACTGTTTCCCATGGGGAGATAAACTTGAAATAAGAGCTGGGGCATTTGAGTAAAATCATATAGTGGAAACCTGGAGTTCTACTTCAAAATAAATTTAAGACCCAGGTTGACATGCTTGATTTGAAAGAAAATCTATCCAGAGAAATGAAACAAAGACGGGTAGATGAAATTACGGTTCAAATTGACCAAGATTGACAAGACAAGCTTGTAGATCTAAATGGCCTGTTCTTGTCCTATGTTCCAGTAGGTATAATACTTATGAATATAGAAATTAGAAATGTGTGGCCCCTTGAGACTGTTGTGCCATTCAAATAAGATCATAGCTGATCTGATCACTCCACACTCCTGCCTGCCCCAATAACCTTACCTATCATGAACTTCTGTACCTCTGCCTTAAGGATATTAAAGGACTGTCTCTTGAAAAGGTGATGAAAGCAGTTCCATAGGCTTAATGCCCTCAGAAAACATTTCTCCTCATCTCCATCTTAGGCTGAACACTTGTATTTTTAAACAGTAACTTCCAGTTGTTAATTATCCCTTGGAAGATGTTGTTCTTTCCACATCTACCCTATTGAGTCTCTTCAGGATTTTGCATATTTCAATCAAGTTGCCTCTTATTCCTCTCACCTCCAGTGGATACGAGCCTAATCTATCCAACCTTTCCTGATAAGACAATCTGCCCATTCTAGTAAACTCCAAACTGCTTCTAATATATTTACACCATCTTTAGATAAGGAGATCAATATTGTATGCGGTTCTCCAGATATGGTCTCACCGATACCTTGTATATCTGTTGCTTTTCTATTCAATTTGCTTTGCAATAAATGACAACATGCTACTTGCTTTTTTTGCTGGACCTGCATGACAACAGTGTTCAAATCATATACTAGGACAGCCAGTCCTTTACCATTTAAATAATTTTTATTCTTTGTACCACAATGGACCATTTATATATATCCCATCTGCGAAGTTGTTGCCCACTTACTTATCCTATCAATATTGTTTTGTAGTCCAATATCCTTTTCACAAGTTATTTTCTTACCTACTTTGTGTCAGCAGCAAATCTAGAAGCCTCACCCTAAGTCTCTTAGTCATACAGCACGGAAACAAACCACACAGTCCAACTCGTCATGGGGACCCAGTTTCCCGAACTGAATTTGGCTCATATCCCTCTAAACCTTTCCTCTTCATGTACCTGTCCAAATGTCTTTTAAATGCTGCAACTGTACCTGCCTCTGCTTCTGGCAGTTCATTCCATATATGCACCACACTCTGTGACGGAAAAAATTGCCTCTCAAGTCCATTTTAAATCATTTCCCCTCTCACCATAAACCTCTGCTTTCTAGTTTTTTGACTCCTCTCCCTTGGGGAAAAGACCTTGGCTATTCAACTTTTCTATGCCCCTCATGATCAGAGAAACCTCTATAAGGTCACCCTTCAACGTCCAACACTCCAGGGAAAAAAAAGTCCTAGCCTCTCCTTCTAACTTGAACCCTCCAGTCCTGGTGATATCCTTGTAAGTCTTTGCTGCACCCTTTCCATATAGTAACATCCTTCCTACAGCAGGGCAACCAGAACTGTACACTGTAATCCAAAAGCAACTTCACCAAAGTGCAGTTCAAGGACAATTAGGGATAGGCAATAAATGCCTGGCCATCCAGTGATGCACACATAAAAATCCCATTGTAATACTTTTACATTGAACTATTCAATTGAATAAATAGTTGATTAATTTTTTTTCTTCACAAATTAATGTTTCCGGTCCGGTGACCCTTCCTCATTTCTGAGGAAGAGTCATTGGACCTGAAACATTAACTCTTTTTCACAGATGCTGCCAGACCTGCTGAGCTTTTCCAGCAATTTTGTTTTTGTTCCTGATTCACAGCATCTGAAGTTCTTTTGGTTTTTAGTTGATTAATTTGTTAATTATACCTATTAGTGTTTCCAGCTGTCCCAAATTTTTATTCAGCCAACAACTTTATTTAAAGGCCGGCCAATTCTAGTTTCTGATGAGTATTTGAGCTCATGTGATCATGTCCCTTGGACACTGAATGAGGCCATTTGAGGATGTATTAGATGCAATTCTGGCCCCCTTGCAGCAGGAAGGATGCACTCACCATAGGGGGAATGCAGCAGAGGTTCCCCAGACTGATTTCTGAAAATGACAGGATTGTCTAATGAGGAGAGACTGGGACTGTATTTTCTAGAATTTTGAAGAATTAGTGATGTTTATGAATTTTGTAAGAAGATAGACGGTAGATGCAGAAAGGATTTCTCTTGGTTGAGATGGCCAGAACCAGGCAACCACAGTCTCAGAATAAAAGGCAAGCCATTTAACATTGAGGTAGGTAGGAACATCTTCACTATATTGGGTGGATTTTCCTCCTAGAGGCAAGTAGCAACAGTTGGGAAATTTCCTGGCTTGACATACCTAGAAAGGTGAAGTTTTCATTCCGAGAGGGGGAAGCATTTTGGTGACAGCCACAGGCACTGCTCAGTGTCAAGGCAGGATGGTTAAAAAAACCTTTGTGCTCTGGAGCTTTGTACCAATTGTTTTGTTTAATAGTAAGCCTTCTAGCCCTCCCCACTCATCACTTTGTTATTCTGCTCTCTCCCCCACCATACCAACTCATGTCCCTCTACTCATCCCTTTATCTTTCTTGTCCTTCATTGACCCCCAAAGGCCCTCATAGAATCCATGCCAATTTTATACCTATTTATCGTATCCAGTATTTAAAACCAATTATCCCTGTTGTAACAATAACTTATTAGAGCTTTTTGACATAGGCCATTCATTTTGCATGAAGACATGTTGAGTTGTTTCTGTAGTTTCTGCTATTGGTACTTTAAAACCTGAGAGATTAATACTTTCATAGTATTGCATTATCTCTACAGCATCCACTAGTTCTGTGTCAAGTGTATACTGGGCAATTAAGCATTGACATGCTATAGTTGGACATGGACCATATAAGTAGACATGGAAGTAAAGTGGAGGGGCATAGGTTAGCATAGAATGTATGAGAGGACATTTGGGGTGAGTGAAGTAGCATGGGTGTATGGGTAAAAATTTTGAACTTACCTATCAAAACGTTTCCTTCTTCAGACTATGGCTCATGACACTTCTGAGGTGCACCGAACCACATGTCCCTGAAAAGCTGACCCAACTCCACAAAAATTGCAGGGAACAAAGTGATGCTCATCTCTCCAGTGGAGCTGGTATCCTGCCTACCATTATGAAAGGATGTCACTGTCTTCCTTACTCTGAAAATCCAGCCTATTCTGTTTTTCCTTCCCTGGCCATATGGTGCTGACAGTGATTTGTAGAATCTTCACCACTATCTGAGCATTTCTCCCTCTTAAAGAGGAAGAGCTGAATTTTGAACCTCCCTTCACTCACTCACTGGTTGGACTTTTCTCTTAGCACTTTATATTTATCTATGGACACTGATTTAGTGGAGTAGTTCCAATGATGTTCAGTTTCAATTTTGATATTGGAACATCCAAAGCCTGCAATATTGATTTATGCTGTTAACGGAACATCAGTTTCAGATTGTGTTAATTGGTCTGTGTACATAAACTCTTCTAGTACTTTTAAACTTAAAGTTTTAAAACTGCCAAGAATTTTCTAAAGATTATTATTGGCCCAGTTGCATTTATACTGTAAGTCATTTGAAGCCATAGCGCTCTCATATCTGTCTGATCTTCCATTGATTTATGGCCCCAGTTCAAGAATAGTTCTGCAACATTTGCTTTGTTGTCTTACAAAAATTATGTTGCATGTAAGTACATGAAATAGGGCAATAATGTATGTTTCACCTACATATTGTGTTTGGCTGTAAAACAGCTTCAAAGAAGTAGAACCCTATCACTATTAGGTGATCTCTTGTCATCCATTCCTCAGTGTACTGCCACTCCTATTTGTTTATTTACAATGATTTTGATGTTTCATGTGTCAAGTTTAAAAGACCATTTACATTATAGAACCATCAAATATTCTTAGCAATGCTAAACCTGCTGGTAACTTCTGTCTCAAAGATAACCAATGGACAAAACACTTTTTGGATCATCTAATAGCTTTTTATTTAATTATGATGAAACTAAAGTGATAACTGTTCAATCAAGCACATATTTCATGGTCTAAAGCAAGTTAGAAGTGAAGGGAATTTGGGATTTATGGTAAGCGAATGAATCCCTGAAATGTTTAGAGAGTTTAGGTGATGGGAGCATATAGTCCATATCAGAGTTTTCAGTAGGAATCCTAAAACTCCTTCAGTACATGATCAGCCCCCAAGCTTGAGAAGTCACTACAATTATTTCTACTTTATTAAAAGTTTTAAATAATTCAAGTCAGTTTCTGTATTTCATTAAATACAATGAACTTACCTGTAAAATTCCATAATTGAATGTCCACCTGTATTTTTAAAGCTTCTTTAATATAAGTGCTCAGGGTGCTTCACAGGACTGTTAACCAAGTTTAGGAAGGGAATGCCTGAACTTGATGCCTGGGTAACTGAATGCACAGCTGCCAGTGGTGGAGAAATTAAAATCAGCAAATATGCAAGAGGCCAGAATAAGAGGAGAGTAGATATATTGGAGGGCGTAAGGTTAAACGATGTTACGGAGATGGATATGCAGCAAAGTTTACAAATACAAATAAAGAGTTGAAAATAGCAAATATTTCTAAATTAGAAATTCCAAAACCACTAAACTACCCAAATGGAACTTAGAAACAGATGGACTTCTGAGATTTTTTTAAAACAAAAGCTTGTGATTTAATCGATGGCCTTGTGGTAAAAGTGGGAAGACGATATATAGATATCCAGCTTAAATGTTAAATGGAAACAATACATGTACTGCTAAGCAAACATGTTGGAATTTGTCACTTTTCATTAAATGAAGGATTGATATGGAATTTGAATGTAGTGCATTACGTTTTATTTCACAAAGCTGTTTTTGACATCTTGATTTCTCCAAGTATGACTGCATTGAGTATTGATGCTTGCAATGATAAATTTGCAGTTCCTTAAGACCATCCAATATTAAAGCAATTAGACTGTAATATTAGGGGTTTACATGGAACAATTAAGAAATACAATAATTCAGTCTAGACTAAAACTCCGAGGTCATTGGTTCATATCTTCTCATGTATCTGGATAATAAATCTAGAACTAAAAGCTGGTTTCAATGGTGGTGACTGTGAGTTGTCATTTAGAAAGAAACCCATTCAGTTCACTAATGACCTTTATGGAAGGGAACCTCCTGTCTTTACTTGGTCTGGTTTCGATGTGACTTCAGACCTACATCAATGTGGATGCCTCTTAACCGACCTCTGAAATGGCTTAGTAAGCCATTCAGTTCAAGGACAACTGGGGATGAGCCAGTGACATTCACATCCCATGAAACATTAAGGCAAACAAAATTACTCCAGTCATCTTTAGTTTTAAAATGTAGCCCATTTGAGCCTCATCTTACCTAATCACATACATTTATACACCTGTGTGAGGGCTGCCTTGCACCTTCCAAAATGACCCAAGTCACCTCGAATATAGTAAAAAAAACCATGAGCTTTGACAAAATTCATCCAAATATGGACACAGTAGATCTTGCATTCAGGCACAGGCTTTGGACTTCCTTTACCTTATCACTTTTTTCTTTTATTCTATTTTTGTAGCTGTTAACACAAACTTTAAGTCAAGCAATTTAATGAAATAAGCTTGCTTATGTTAGAATTTATTTCTCCTTAATAATTCCAATAACAGAGAAATAAACCTGCATATTTGAGAACAATATTAATCTGCAATGTAGCAAAGATGATTATAGAACAATAATATAATGCAATATACTTAATTATAACGTCAAAAGTTCTCACAGGTAATCCTTGAACAAGAAAAGAAATTTCCCAGAAGTCAATGAGCAGTCAAAAATCTGTATCCATTTTGCATAATGGAATCTTTAAAAAAAACGTTTAGAGTAATTTAATGCTTCTGATCCCAGTTTATGGTATTTCTAGAAAAGTGTGAACACAAAATGAAACTAGACTCTAAGTTTAATCTTAATTTTTGTTTACCATGCTGATCACTGGACATATTCAGAAGAGGCTGCCAATGTACTTTTAACAAAAGAATGTAAGTGTGTATTACATGCAAGAAAACACCAAACATTTTACACCAAATAGAAAATAATTAAACAATCTTACCATAAGTATCAGGAAAGATTCAACACTTTTACTCCAACAACAACTACCTTATAAACACCCAAATCTCAGGGAGGGGCAGGCAGCATAGCTGTAACTGATTCCTCTAAGTGAATTTCTGTAATCACTTGATACAATTTTCTTTAGTCAAAGTTACTTATGCAAACTTCTAACTCAGTCAACTTACAACCAGATATGCCTTAAATTCAAGTCTTCAACAGTCCTGAGAGCTTCAATAATCTCTCTTCTCTGAAACCTCATAGACATCTGCTTCTGAAGCATTTCTCTTATTAACTTCTAAAGCACTCAGTCTTTCTTTTCCGCTGAGACCTTTTGAGACTGTTAATAACAAAATTTCTGCTGATAGGTATTCCTGCTTTCTGAATGAACCTACATACTGTTTGACTTTTTGTGAATTGTTCTGACTTTGTCCTAATGGTCTCCAGTCATTAGGAAACAGTTTTTTCCTCTCTTTTACCCTTTTTCTAAGTCCGAAGTCACACAACACCAGGTTATAGTCCAATGGATTTATTTGAAATCACAAGATTTTAGAGCACTGCTCCTTCATCACCTGACAAAGGACCAGCAGTCCAAAAGCTTGTGATTTCAAATAAATCTGTTGGACTATAACCCAGTGTCATGTGACTTCTGACTTTGTCTGCCCCAGTCCAACAGGCACATCCACATCATGCTGCCCCTTTTTCTCATGCACTGAACTGTTCTCCTCAAGGTTTAAGGACTAAATTCAAATGTAAGAAATCAGAACTAATCTCCAGGCACATTGTCACCACTCAAAATAAATCTAAGGTAAAACTAAAAACAAAAGCCTTCACCTTCAGGAATGAAAAATCAAAATATTACCTTAATGAGAAATGAAATCAGAGGAGCAAAGGTAATTGGAGACAACAAGGTGCAGAGCTGGATGAACACAGCAGGCCAAGCAGCATCATAGGAGCAGAAAGGCTGACGTTTCGGGCCTAGACCCTTCATCA